TGTTTTTCTCGTTGCCATGTTCCCACCAATAACGTAGCTCCATTTTCTGCCTTTAAAAGCACACACAACCCACAATTCCTCTATTCGCTCCGACGAAGGGCTAACGCTCGAAACGTCAGCTTTTGTAATCGTTACGGTGGCCAATTTACCATTTCAACTTTGTTGATATATCCAAATTATTTCGTTACTCCCACCGACGCAGCCCCAAACAGTTTCTTTCGAAACTATCAGCCTTTATTCATTTTATTATTTTACTTTTTTTGCGAATCAACGCTTGCTCTTATCGGAAGTCAATGATAATATTCTCCAACGCGATCGGCCGTCAGCAGCCACCGATCTGAACACTAAAATGACAACATAAGCGTGATCCTTGCAAAAATAAAAGAATACGAAGACAGTTTACACAGCATGCTTGCGTAATTGAAAAAAGCTTGTTGGATTAACAATAATTTCATCTTGAAGTAAGGTAAATTGCCATGCTTTTATCTTTGATAATTTCGTACCTCGACTTTTTGCCTTCCAATTCTGTTCGTAAGTTTACTTTTGCTTAACAAATCGAACCCCAACGCAGCTGTCAAAATTTGCCGTCAATTTGTGGGATAATAGACACAAATGGGATATCCCTCGATAATGTCAACATAATCAATTGTGTGTCCCTGTCAGGTTGTGGCGGAACTTTCCATGGTTACTTTGGAACATTCAATCTTACGCAGTGGAGCTGGGATGGAAGACTAGATTGTTCATGGAGGATAAACAACCCTGGCCTTAGCGACCCCGTGATGATCATATCTGCGCAATACGTGGAACTAAAATCTTGCGAGTAAGGGATAGGTCTTTATTTTGGTTGTGTCACAAGGAAATTTACTGATCCCCCATAAGACCAGAATATTCTTATATTCATCACCTTATTAGAAGTTAATTGGCAGTGATGTTTCTATATTCCTCCTTTTTATAATCTGTTGGAGAGGACTTCTCCCTCCCTCCATTTCCCCTGAAAAACATTTGAAATACCCAAAATCCCCCCCCCCCCACACCCTCTACAAGATAAGTAATGACTGGACCCTAAATCGCATGACATCTACTTCGCTCAAGTTTGTAAAGCTGATTGTGCAGACTTGCTTTGTGGATTGTAATAAATATCATTTTAGATCATTCTGGTCAATCGATCAGAATTCCTCTCGGAAATCAGAGAGCCCACTAAAATGTGTCTCTCACGTTTCTTTCTTACTTGCAAATCATTAAATTTCTGTGTCCTTGTACAATAAACAGATCTTCATCTAAGATTTTTGGAAGTGATGGGAGTGAGCTATGGAGTCATGATGGTTGTGATTATAGAGCGGTAAAAGGTGAAATAGTGGAGGTTCCTTTCGACGGGTCTAACTTTCTGACCCTTAAGCTTCATACAGAACACGAAGGAAGCGTGGTGATCTCGGAATTTGTTATTCTGGAACAAGGGAAAGCTCTGTATTCAGGTATTGACGCGTATCGTTTCCTGTGCTCATGCTCACAACCTCACTTACCATATGTGTTTCCGGTAGTAGTATAAGGGGCCTTACTGGGTAAAACCGAGAGGTCTGGGTCCGAGTGTCTCGGCCGAGTGAGATCTAATTAGTTATTCATATCCTATACTACTTCCGGTATTATTCTTCTATGACTTCCGAGGTCGGTAGCCGTACAACTTTTTCAGAAAATTCCTTTTTCGGAGAATCAATGACTGATTCCTCTGAAAACGGAACTGACGTAATGACATGAATTTCATAAATCTCACAGGGTGTAAAATCATGGTTGGTCTTTGTGTGAGTGCCTCGCCTGAATGGGGAAATCTTTTCAAAACAAGATGAATACCAAAGTAAACTAGATCCTTTAGATAAAAAGAGTTGCTATGTTGTGATCGGGCCGAGTGGGCTGATGTAACTATATTTAAGAGTTTTGGCGCGAGGAAAGTTATCTTTTCGTTAAAAATCCGCGAATACGTGAACTTTGCCAAATGTTTCTCTTGTTTCTACAGTGCAATGCATCAAGTTAGTCGATTATAAAATAATCAAAATACCTCTTTAACTAATACTAATCTAACTTCCCTTATCACACCGTATGAGTAGGTAAAAAGGAAACAATCTCTTATTTATTCAAAATAGATGACAAAAATTGTATCGCTGTCTGATCCGGCGATTCTCCGTTTCTAACCATCAATTTAAAGTATTACAAATTCCTTAACTATAAGATCAGTGACTCAATATTTCTTGTATCCCGCAGAAATTAATAGACATTAAAATACACGAATTTGGCTGTAAGCAGTATTTAGAAAGGGTTATGGTTTGGACATCATAGCGGAGTATCTTACGACAAAAATCTCATCTGAGACTGATCATTTGAATATTTTTTCAGCTACCCCTTTCCGGCCTCCATGGAACGTAACAGCAAGCAACACTAAGAAGGGGAGTGTCATGTTTGACATGTCTCGTTTCCCTAACGACAAAGAAGCCTCCTTCTTTATAATATCTCTGAATAGCACGGAAGAGAATCCCAGTTGCGGGGAACATCACGGTGATGACGAAAAGCAACCTCCAGTTTATCTGCACATGGTAAATTCGTCGAATTCGGTGGAAGAAGTGTTTGGTATTCCAGAATCAAGCCGCTTTGAGGTTGTTGTTTACCTCGTTAGCACAAAAGATGAAGTTTATAAAAGCGAACAATTTCTTCTGGAGACGGTGGAAGGTGGTAAGTACTGTGACTTTTCTAATTTTTTCTTGTTATTTTACCATTCTGTGCTTTCTTTTGCTTTGTTTTAAGAGCCACGATGGCATAACTGTTGGGTGTAGAGACCCTGCCAGGTCATCGTATTGTTATCTTATGAAATACACGCTCCTCTTACAATGCCATCCTCCGCCCTCGGGTATATACTATCGGGGAAGCACGCAAGAAATGAGGGGGTTTCAGTTAGGGCTTCACATCTAGGATGTCAGGCAATACTCCTGCTCGCTTCTTTCAATTGATACTGCGATGAGGTTTAGCTAGACGGTCGCAACTTGGGACTCCTTTTCAGAAATATCTCGCCGAAGCAAAATCGAAACCATCTTATCCAAGCTTACTCCGGTAGTTTAATTTACACACGGACAAAAAGGAAACATATGGCCTAAATAATAATAAAATGCAGGGCCGCTTTAGTGGGATCAAACTTTCGAACGAGCACTAAGTTTTTTACCTGCTTAGATACAACGGGGGCACACGCCTAATGATTGTGATTGTAAGAACTGAAAAGCATCGCCAAGAAAAGAAAATGAGGGACCACATCCGAGCAATTATGAAAAAATTTTATTTCGTTTTAGTTCCAAGTGAGGGACCTGGTCATGTGGAGTACAGAGTCTTGTCAGCAAGCAGTGTCTTTATCGAGTGGTCTGAGATATCTTCAGAACATCACAAGGGAAAACTTCTTGGCTACAGTATTACCTATTTTTCCGAATGTACTGTAGAGGACTCTGATTCTCATCATTTTGAACAGTTTACAGTGGATTTATCTTTTAGAAGCCATACTATCACTAGTCTTCAGCCTGGATCCAAATATCGAGTGTATATCGCTGGATTTACAGCACGGGGAGTTGGAGCACCTAGGGATATGGATTTTACTACCCGTAAGTTCCCATCGGTTTCAAGTTTCAAAGTATTGCTTCCACAATGGTACTTGCAAAGGTTCTAGAAAAAAAACCTAAGATGTTTTGCCTGTCGAAGATCTGCTGCATTGAACTTTTTTTATGTGATGTTTTGTTTTTTCTTTTGCTCTGTTTGTTTATTTCTGTTTTTTTTGTGTCTTCGTCACTGTTAAACCGTAGCTTCCTGTCAATTGTTTAGTCAAACAGTAGTTACCCTTTGCCATTAAGACATAATAAATATATGTGTGTGGTGTAATTAAACAAGCATTTCATATAGTCGAATGAATAAAAAAGTCTTCATATCATAGAATTACATTTACTTAGCTGATGAGATTAGCAGGCTCAGCGAGACTGCTTACTGAAAGGTTCTTTAATTAAATGCTTGAAAGCATTTCTTGAGTGATTTTATGGCTATCACTTTTAATTTCAATTACCATTCAATCATGAGTCTAAAACGACCTTTCTTCGCTTCCTAGCTTGTGGACAGCCAAGAGAATTGACAGAAGTTAATGGAACAATTTACAGTCCTAACTACCCCTGTCGCTTCAGAGGACCTCAGTAATGTCGATGGACCATCAAGCCAAGCGGCCCCACAAAAATTATATTGATAACGATCGAAAACTTCCGTTTGGATCGTCACGAGTACTGCAGGTTAATGTTATCGCGGTCTGCTGGTTGTTGATGTATCAACCATGTTTTTCTTAGACCCAAGTTCCGCAGCTTTGTCTCCGTTATTGCAATTTAAAGCTTTCCTTTACTTCGATCTGTGATTGGTCGAGAAAACTCCCATCTCTCTCTTAGCCAATCAGATAGAAATTAAAACCAATAACAACTTGGTCGCCTGTGTTTTCCCTTGCTTCAAGCAGTTTGGTTATTTTTACTTTGAGCTCCAATTGGCTCTTCAGGGGTCTTTCCTTTCTTCTGATTGCTCGTTGTGATTCCTTTGGTTTTGGTATTACGACAGTCAATCGAAAAATGCTTTATCTGAGTAATCACTTGAATGATTGTAAGAGGAAGGTAAAATAGATCTATGCTGTAAGTGAGTGTACAGAGATTAGCGTTATTACCAGCGTTCTTCTATTAGTTTTTTTTTACATATATTAACTCTATTTTCGTTATCATTATCACACAGCAAGAACACGTGGCTCAGTGTTACAGCAGGGCGCTACAATAATGATACTTTACTTTGTGGTCACATCGATCGCTTTGACCTCGTTATATCAAATGACGAAGCTGAGATTGGGTTTTATACCCGAGAGCATAACGAAGGTGATGCCTTTCGCGCATGGTACCAAGCTCTGGAAAATGATATTCCAGGTATTGAGTTATGCTTTATCTTGGAAACGAAATTCGTTTCATATGCTCTGTCTATTTTAAATACCAATCAGCCGGACAATAACACCAACATCAACAATAAGAACAGTAACAACTAGAGCCTAGTTGTACAAAGGGTAGATGACGCTATCCATCAGAAGGATCGCTATTCAGCGGATAGGTGATAACAAAATGCATTGCGCTATCTACCGGAAGGAGATTTATCCAGGATAGCGTTATCCAACCTTCGAACAACCGGGCCAGAAAAACGCAACGCCCTTAACAAACCAAACGGTAAGTATTGTCAGTTTCAGAGTATACCTGGTGAAGAGAGATTACTTATGCGGCCCCTGTTATCAAAAAAGGACACGTGTAGAGGAAAAGTTAAATGAATAAACACATAAATACACATGCAAACAAACAACGAAATGCAACAGCAACTATCAGGCTGAGGGATAAATAGTGTGTGTTTGAGAATAGGACGCGCAGTAATACAATGTTAATTTATTTTATCCTTTTTTTTTATTAAAGAAACACACGAGCCTTCTTGGTCACTCAGAGTAGATGACACTGAACCGACAACGGTTCAAATATCGTTTGATGATTTTGTACATCGCGATAAACACGTGGATACTTTTTTCGTGAAAGTCACTGAGGCACACAAACACGTGTCAATGTTGGTCCCTTTTCCAACCCATGAAAGATCTCGACGTGTCGAGTACCTCAGCCCCAACCGTAAATATTTTATACAGATCATGGCATTTACGGATGATGGGATGTACACGAGTGAAAACATCAGCGCGAGGACCGACGAAGGAGGTAATGCTTTAAACCAAGATGGACTTGCAAATGGGTTGGCCTGTTATCACTCTTGACGCATCATAGGCCGGTTTTACCAGGCGAATCTGGGGAAGAAGGAGTTAAGTTTAATGAAGAGACTAGCACAGCGGAGCGACTCGGCACAAGAGAAAGCTTCTCCCCAACTTTTGCACCCTTTTCAGACAAGAGCTAAACATAGGATGGGGATTACACACACTGCGACATTTTGAAACATACTCATGCTCATTTATTTTTCAAAACGTTTCATAAACCAACTACACGCAAAACTTCTAAACCTTTTTTTTCCACTTTCATAAAAGGTGGAGTCTTCTGGGAGGGAGGAAGACTCGAAATTAAACCTTTTTTGCTTAGAAGCTGTGGTAAACGAGGCCTGGCCTGCATTCGCTCAAATTTACTTTATGAAAAAGTCGCATCTGTAAAACTACCTTTTGTTAGTGAAATATTAACTATCATTTATTACCATGGAAAAAAAATTTCCTATTCCTTTTAGCTCCAACCATGTCACCTTTGAACGTACGCGCGGAAAGCCTCTCCGAACACAGTGTCAGGGTACGATTCAATCCCATTCCTCTAAGTCACCATAACGGTCCTCTCCAGGGATACAACGTGTATTATAGAAACAGAGATCACCATCATGACCATGAAGGAACGAAGAAATCTATCAGCGCGTCCGAGAGACAAGTGGTTATAGATGGATTACAATCTATGCAAGAGTACGAAATTTCAATGTCCGCATTTAATGATATGGAAGGACCTCGATCTGACGAGATAGAAGTTGTTCCTGGTAAGGATTGCTGTCGGGTAGTTAAATTTGCCTATAACCACTATTCTCACCTGTTACCTCACTATTTTTAAGAATTTTAGACCTTGGATAGGTAAACGTGTTCCTTTAACGATCTCTATCCAACTAAGTATGCAAGCCACGAGGATACCCAGGGTTTAGAGCTTCAAAAAAAAAAAAAAAAAGGATTGATGAATTTTCGCCATGCACGTATGTGTGGCTAAGTAAAACAATCAAGTCGATCCAAATAGAGCAATCAAGTCGATCTTTCAGACAAAGGGGTAGAAAGAAATATTTTTGACATCTTGGTCAGCTCAGTTCATAGCTTCCCTCAAAGTACGTACAGTTAGTATAGGTTCAAAACCCTTAGTGTGCGTGGAAAACATCACATTTTAAAACTGCACATCGACCGTGTGTAAAGAGGAATGTGCGAGATGCATCCATCGTATGTCTTGGTGAAACTGTTCTCTGCTTTTGAATTTGACACTGTGGAACCCCTAAGGGATAAATAACTGCTCTGGATAATTCTGTTTTTAGTGAATCCAGTTTTCATTATTTTGGCATGATCATACAGGTTGTGGTGGAGTCATCAATAAAACAGCTGCAGTTATAAGCCTCTATAAGACGAACTGGGACACGTATCATTGCAAATGGAGAATATACGACAATGGTGTGAGAAATGCAGTCTTACTCCTTTCAGTGCAATACCTGCGTTTCCATTCTTGCGGGTAATGTAACTTCTTAACTCTGAATTCTTTTCGGTTTAAACACCTGTATAGAATTAAAGAAAAAGGATCAGGGAAAGATCCTTGTAACTTCTCAACTTTACGAGTATGGTTGTGTCGGGGTGAAAAGGAGAACGTGAGTATAGGTTCCAAGGTCAGCGGTAAATTTCATTCTTCACCATTCCCAACCAAGCCAGCTTAGCTGGTGATGTTGTGTTTGCCTACAAATAGAAAGGGAAAGAGTCATATTGAGTTTGGAATTATTCGTTTTAGCGAGTTCATGAAGTACATTAGGTTCCCCCACAACCGCCTAACTACGTAAGGTTTCCGTAGGGTTTCCCCAAGGTTTCCCTAGCATTTAACTTGTCAGCCTTCCCTTTGCTACTATTACTATACGCATTCTGTGGATTTCTAACGTTTTGCAGTGCCCAGCCAACAGAGGAAAAGTATTAATCGTATCTCAAACAATCTGGTCTTAGATTAGGTAATAATCATCGTAATAACGTATTTGCATTTTCAAAGCAAGTTATCATAGGATTTTGAAGCATATTTTTCATTTTTATGTTGTTTTGATCCTCAGTTATGAATACGCCAAAGTGTACTCGGAAGATGGCATCGCTCTTCATCATAAGGATTGCTCAACCGTTCGTGGAGAAGTACATGAAGTACCTTTTGGTAGTTCGGACGTTGTACACTCAGAGGTGTTTATACAAAATATGGAGAGCAAGATTGTCACTGACCTTGTCATTTTGAAAGGAGGTTTACACTCAGGTAGTCAATATTTTGTTTCCGAAGGTGGTTCTTGAATATGTAATTTGAATGGAAGAAAATATTTCATCTTATAAACTAGGTGTGGATAATCAATCTTCTGTTTCGTTTTGGCGCAGATGCAGGACATCCACTTTTTTCAGAGAAAAAATAACCATTACTTCTGATATAGCCGGTGTTAGTATGCTTCCTAACTAGCATCAGGTTTCTCCCCACAATGACTTACTTAACCTACTATAGAAACCCATAAGAAATCTTGAACAACTATAGAAGCCCATAGGAAATTTTAGAGAACAGAAAGGAGAGTGTTGGAATGGAAAGGGTGAATAGCATGCTAAGTCTGCTTTGCAACTTCCATATTGTTCCATAGCTCAACCAACTCAGGTGCCTTGGAATATCAAAGGAAATGAAGGAAGCGATTTCATTTCACTGGACTGGAGTGGCTTCCCTGGTAACCTCGGTGTAAACTTCTTTGTCATATCCCTAAACCAAACAGAGCTCTCCCCATACAAGAAGGACGACTATCACCACGATGACAAGGAAAATAAGCTAGTTCGGTTTCATAAAATCGTCAACTCATGCGAAACTTTCATTAATATAACGGACCTTCCTATAGCTGCGAAGTTTATAGCCACAGTTTACATCGTAAATAACAACAATGAGATTTACAAGAGCGAGAAACTCATGATCTCGACGGAGGAGGGAGGTAAGGAAAGTCAGCACCTACTTTTTGAAAACATTGTTTACTTCAAGTTGGTTTTTTTGTATTGATAAATGAGATTACTAACACTAGGTCGAGTGAACTGCTTTCCTGCTAATATTAGTGGCACCCTCTAGGAAACACTTCAATGCTGGGACAAATTTTAAGTTAAAACTCAAAATATCCTGATTATTCACGAACGACGAGAATATGGGAATTATGGAGGAAAAAATTGATAAAAAAGGAGTAATTTGTTCCTGAATCTTTATGTGTTAGTTACTCCGTTTTTGTATAGCAAGAAACTCCCTAGCTACCAATGTTATACGCTTTCATTTTCACCGTCAGTGAGCATGGACACATCATTTGTTTCTTAAAACTGTATTGTGGAGCACTAAAGTCATCATTTCGTAACTAAAACTACACCATTGTGCCTCTTGATCGATTTGTCCGGGCCATTTGAGTTTTTTAATCAGGCTTTTATCTCTGCCCATTAACATCCCTTTTTGTTTCTCTTTCTTGAATTTGTCACGAGAACTTTCTAGTAACAAACGATAGACAGTTGAGTTCTATGAATAAAGGCTGATAGTTACTAAAGAAACTGTTTGGGGCTGCGTCGGTGGGGGTAACGAAATAATTTGGATATAACAACAAAGTTGAAATGGTAAATTGGCCACCGTAACGATTACAAAAGCTGACGTTTTGAGCGTTAGCCCTTCGTCGGAGCGAATAGAGGAATTGTGGGTTGTGTGTGCTTTTAAAGGCAGAAAATGGAGCTACGTTATTGGTGGGAACATGGCAACGAGAAAACCACGACTAAATTAGTTGAGTTTTATGTCATGTGTACTAAAGAGTGAGCTTGTCATTTAATATTTGAAATCTCATACTTTTTTGAAAGTGCCACTAAGGTTTCCTCATCCTCATGACTGGTCGACCAACTTGGATAGTAACACTGTGTCGTTCCAACTCAGTTCAATCGAGAGGAGATACCGAGGTGGTGAAATCCTGGGCTATCGTATCATTTATGGGCCCTGCTGTGATCCAAATAACTTACAAACCATGGAAGTGGACGCTGGTACTAGAAGAGTCACCTTGGAAAATCTTACTGACAGTCTCACTTATGCTGTTCATATTGGTGGATATACAAGCAAGGGAATGGGTACTATAGGATCATTCGGGGCAACTTGTAAGTTTTGATCTAAGAAAACGATTTAACATTGATAGTAAAGGAGACATTATCAATCAGTCGAGCCAGGGTAATTTAATGGGAGTCTTTCGTTTGATTTCTACCCACTTTCATAAATGGCTGCCGGATTAATATTCTTTTGTTGAAGTTTAAATTAGCCCTTCTGGCCTCGTTCTCCAGTAAAAAATTCAAAAGAATACATTATCTCAAGCGAGGCCAGAGGGGCTAATTTAAATTTAAACAAAAGAGTATTAATCCGCAGCCATTTATGAAAGTGGTCTAAACATATGTGAGAAAATTGCCTAAACCAAATTCAAAGCTATTTTTTTACCCTCGTACAACTTTTTTCTCTTCCCTTCCCTCCCTTCCACTTCCTTCTCTCCCCAATTACAGTTTATCTTCTCTCACATGTCTTCGTCAAGCCTAACTTGTTTATCAAGTCATCGTAAAGTATTTTTAATCAGAGATTTTTACCTGTATCACTGATGTATTTTTTCCTCTTAGTTTGTGGTGGCGATATGGAGGCGGATACCGACCAGATTACGAGTCCCAACTATCCTGGTACCCCATACATTGGTCACGATCAGTGGGACGAAAACCCGAAATGCTACTGGAACATTGCACCCAAGTCTAGCGTGTCGGGAATATTCCTCACAGTCAGAAATTTTCTCCTTGGTCGCAGAGATGAAGGAAACCGATGCCAGTACGTTCATTTAATTACCTATCAAGGCCAAATTTTTGGGGTTTTAAGGAGGTTTCAGCCCCATTGCAAGCCAGGCCCGTAGCCAGAAAGACTTTCAAACCGAGGCATTAATTTATAAGATGCGCTAGAATCGAATTTTATAATTGAATTTGTGGTTCTGGCAATAGCCAACACTGCGTTGTAAACCAAATATTGGACATGTAATTATTTGTGACTTCTTGCTGCTGAATCTACCAAAATACATAGGCGAAAAAATTAGGAAATTTCAACTGAGGCGAGTACCATGGTTCGCCTCATACTGGCCACGAGCCCGCAAGCTCGTCCTGTAATGATTTGTTCCCATAACGACGAGTTAGTCTCATCAAATGTAGCCAACAGGTTGGGAGCAAGGAGCATTTGGAGTTTTTTTTCCTGCAGAGGAAACTGATCACAATTTGTAATGCAGGTAGTAGCACCTAATTAGTATCTGGGGGTCTGGGTTCGAATCCCGCTTGATTTTCAGTACGTAGGTCACATAATTCATTTCATTACAACTTTATTTTTTCTTGCTACTTATTCGTCTCGTACACATCACAGTATCAGACTACTATCTCGCTGCCTTCGGTGCAGTATTAGTGCCTGGCTTTTAAGTTCCAATTGTACTTCGAGTGTGAAACTCGTCCATGATGCAAAAAATTGTATCCAGCCCGTTTTCTTACGCTTTGAACTGCAATGGGGCGTAACGAAGCTTCCCATTGCCCTCCCCCCTCCCCCCCACCTTCCCCTAGCTCTCAAAATCACAATTATGGTTCTCCTCTTTGTCTGTAGTGGTCAGCTGAGGATGTACTTTCCCGGCATATCAGAAAACGATGAGAACCTAGCCACTGACCTTTGTGGATACATACCAGAAAACCTGACTATACTGGTAATAGATAAAGTTCTCAATCTTAGAGCATCGGGATTTGGATATCAGCGATACGAGGAAGAATATCGTGACAAAACCAAATTTCTGATCGACTATGAAGCTGTAAAAGGCGACATCACCACTGTGACAGGTACCATGCATTTTGCATCCGCTCAAAATATTGTTATGCTGTTCACCAAAATCTCAATTGTGTCCGATAACAAAAGTAACACATGGAAGATGTATTACATTCGCGCTGTGTATAGCATTCCATAGTAGCAAAAGGGCTCCGTTTCTCTTCTCGGAACCTCAACAGGGAGTTTAATTTAAAGCATGTTAGCCCACGGCACATGTCTTTCAAGTGTCGAGTTTTCAATCAATTGGCAGTGCAGGTGATCACGAAGAATCAATCAGAACTGGTGGTAAAGGTAACCAAACTTTAATCAGAAAGCGCGAGAAACGCGACTGACCCTGTCGCGATTGTTATAGTTTCGCTTCTGTTTGATTGCAAAGGAGGTACGAGTTTCTTAAAGACTAATCAGAAAGATAAATGAAGTAGAACCCATGTAAACTCATTACAGATTCACTTGACATCTGTCACTTTTGTAACAATCAGGGGAAGCGATTGACTCATGGACAGGACTTCAGATGGTCGTCGGCTACACTTATGTCACAGTATCCTGGCCTGAGCCACCAAGCAGCTTCATCAGTTCTTCTTCCGTGGATTATTACCAGGTCCTCGTGGGAGGATGGTCTGATAGGATTTACGTACCGCAGAACGTAGCAGCGGAGGAAAAGACGCTAAAATATGAGTGGTTGTTTCCTTTGAGAAATTACACCCTGAAAGTTATAACTGTGCTAAAAGATGGAAGACGTGGATGCACGGACTGGATCAAGTTTAGGACTACGGAAGGAGGTAAAGCAAATCTGCGTTTCTCAAGAATTATCATTTGTTTCGAAAATCTTTCATTAGGTGTCGATATTATACAGAGCGTGCTAGATTGTATCTCCAGCCGTTGATAACATAGGGGCTTCTATATTTTCAAATGCGCGAAGAAAATGTTGTTATTTATTGTAGAACAGACGAAATTTCAAAACTGTTTCTGGCCACATCATAAATTCGATTTAACCCTTTAACCTCCTTCAATGTCCAAACAGAATTTCCCCTTAAAACGGCAATACGAAATCAAGCCAGCAAGAGATGAGACTAAAGGGCCATATCATCCTAGGAGTTGTATGGCAGCCAGTGAGGATAATTACTAACGAGATCTTGAATAACTGCTAATGAATAATATATCTTTAAATGTTATAATTAACAATTATTCCGTGAGCGCGCGTTGGATATGAGATGATAGACAGTCAACGAGGCGCGTAGCGCCGAGTTGGTTATAATCATCTCATATCCAACAAGGGCCAGTGGACTAATTGTTTTTTTTAAAAACGTTAAATTAAATTATTAAATTTTATTAAATATTTTGCTCCCTTTTAATTTTAAGCTGACGCTTACGGTTACCATATTTGTAGGTTATGGTATATTGGCTCATATACCATAATGGCTATAAGCCAATAAAAAMTCTTGAATTGCATTATCCAATGATCCAGTTTTTAATAATAGGAAATACTTCGACTCAACTCATAAAGCTGATAGTATGCTCACCGCTCCTTTGTTCCTAATTATTTCTTAGTGCCTGCAAGAAACCCATTCATTGAAACGATTGAGGTCATTGATTACAGCACAATAGGGGTCAGGTGGCATAAGATAGACACAAGCTATGCCAATGGCATCATACGTGGATATCGGGTGCACATCATACAGGCTAACGACCACGATTGCTCGCAAGGCTTTTATGATAGCGTTACCGTTGGTCCCGAGGAAATTGAAGTGACACTCACAGGACTACCCGCGGGGACCGACTTCCGTGTGTGGGTCACTGCGTTTACATCGATTGGGGAAGGTCACCAGAAACATGAACGATGGGTGAAAACAAGTGAGATGTCACCCCTTGTGATTGAAATGTGATTTAATATTCAATTGTATACTTCAGTAGACGTATTGTGCATTTACTGTGATTATTTCGGTATCATGGCCAATAATGTTTAAGTAGGACCCATACCAAAGCAACGCCAACGGTCTGTTCTATTCTGCTGTAATTTTGACTAACCAAGAAGGCCTAACGTAGACTTATGTAAAGCTACGTCTTTTATTTTCCGTCATCGTGAATGACTGAGGCATGCCCCAGGGATTTAGGAAAAAGGTGATGCAATAAAGTGGAAGGAGACTGAAAATCTAGCAAACTTTTTATTTTTCAATAATTTTTCCAACACACGGTTGATTTCTGTACTTTTTCAGAATGCGGGGCTCCGCTGCACGATAAGAAAGGTCTCATCCGCAGCCGCGAATTTCCATCAAGGATTAAAAGTGGTGATTGCCTATGGGACATTTACCCTAAAAACAAAAGCGTTCTGATACATTTTGAGCATTTCAGCCTTCCAGAAAGTGATGAATGCAGGTATGATGGAATTTTTATCGTGATCTCAGTTCAACTGACTTTCTCCTTGACTTAGTTTATTAGAACCAGAGATGAACAGGTAGAGACAGTAAGTCAATCTGGTACAGGCCACAAGGTAATCAAGATGATCGTGGAATATCTGAACTTCAGTGTCGGAGATTTCTTTGTGGTCATTCCATACGGTGTCTAATCTTTCTCTGCAGAAAATATTGAGGGGCTCACATTCCAATCAGGAGTAACGCATTCACATGTTCAAATCCTGTTGAAGTGCTAAAATTATCCAGGCAGATTTATCGCAATTGGAGTTTGCGCAAATCAGTTTTTGGATCACTCTTGCCGTTTCAATTTTAACGACAGTAATATTCACCTTTAGATGGATCCTATTTTCTTCCAGAGATTTCTACGCGACTGTAGGGGATAGTAGTGGTGTTGAACCTGAGCAGATTTGCGGTGATAGGGAGCCATTTGACGTTCTTGTACAGGCAAAGAAAGTGCTCCTTCTCTCCCACGCTGAACATGAAGCCCAGGGGGACAGAACAGGATTTGAACTGCACTACATGACTCTCAATCATTCTGTCTCAGAAGGTAAACCAATAAGAACAAAACGATCTTTTCATTTTTATTTAACATACTTTTCATGTACATGTGTCTCTACAATACACGTATTTATAGCCTATTTAGATACCATAAGAAGCCTTTACTACTTTCAAAAATATTAAAATTGCTGTTTCAAAAACTTCTTTTCAACTTGTAGCTGAATTAAAATCAGGCTGGACTATAACAGCTTCCAATGTCGCTTCGTCGACCGCAGAAATCGCATGGTCACACTATTCACCAGGTGCAGGAGAGACACTTGTCCTATACGCAATCGTCTGCACTCCAACTTCGCATGCGGCTGGACCATCCATAACAACCGTGAAGAAGGAAATTGATGAATCAAACGCAGAGCGCTTGCGACCATACACGAATTATACTGCCAAAGTTATCGCCTTGGTCAAAAATGAACTTGGCGAGATGAGTCTTAAAGGAAGTGAGGAAGTATCCATCACAACTAGGGAAGGCGGTAAGATAAATGTAGTTTGTTCAAAGAATTTTGGAGTACATGGAACCTTAGAGAGGAACGGTGGGAATGGGGTGAGGAGGATGTAAATCATTCATTTTCAAAAAGAGGGAAGTGAGCCTCACACACACCTCGCTACCCACCTATCGTCGGTTAGTGCCTTAATTCTGTTGAAGCTACTGTGTAGTGTCTTTGTAGTGCTACACTGCGTCAATCTCTCCTGTTTCTAGCCATGCTGATGATCCTCCTTTTCATAGAAGTCGCGATGAAGGCCTGCCCAGGTTCATCGAATCGATCTTTGTTTTACCTAAGTGATATACAAAAATTAACGCGGTTTGTCTCATTAAAATATTTTACTCTTAATTTAAGTTCCAAGTAAGCCTCCAGAAGATGTCGCCGCAAGCGCCGACGATGGCATCATAACTGTCACATGGAAGCATATTCCGAGTGATTACATCCACGGAATGTTAGTTGGCTACCGGATCTACTATCGTTTGTATGAAGGCTGGGTAGATGACAAAGAGCTCGACCTCAACCAGTTTTCCTTCATCGAGGTTATTGATACTGCCCTGGAAGCGAGCATCGTGAATTTGACCAATTTCGAGACCTATGAAGTGATGGTTGCTGGCTTCACTGCCGTAGGAGAGGGACCATTTAGCGAACGTACCCATAGCAGACCAGGTAATTGCCATATAAATTAACAGTGTTAAGTTATCTTGCTTTCTACAAAATTTCATGTTTTATAGACATTGTGGCTTATGAAGTTTGTTGAGTACGGCAAGAGAGGACTCATTATGAAACAATTTCAATAATACAATTCAAGGAGGTGGAGGAATAATTTGCCTTTTCAAAAAAACCGATAAAATATGATTAATCAACATTTGCACTGTGATGAGCAAAATCACCTTGTATCTAAATTTACCACTATTATGGGAAAAAATTATGAGAAATTATAGGAAATTTGGCAATGGACTTTCCACTGGATGGCTCTTACCTTGTCTACTGTTTCCACTTCGAATTGAAATTTGGAATGTTGGTTTTTGCGGAGGGAGGAAAACCAGAGGACCCGGAGAAAAACCCTCGGAGCAAGGACGAGAACCAACAGCAAACTCAATCCACATGTGACGCCAGGTCTGGGAATCGAACCTGGGCCACAGCGTTGGGAGGCGAGCGCTGTCATTACTGCGCCATCCCTACTCCCAAAAGGGAACCCTATGCACATTTTGATGTGATTGTTTCGACTTCTATAGGCTGCCAAACCAGTATACGCAGTGATATGCGGGTCATATCATCTCCTGGATATCCAGACAACTATCCGAACGACGTGGAATGTTACTGGATTTTTGAGAAGGAAATGCCTGTATTCGATGTGGTCGTTGTCATCGAAGATTTCCACACAGAGGAACCGGATGGAGGAGCAAATTGCACGTATGTTACTGAGGATTTCCGAATGAATCATTTAGATTCTTATTGATTGCGTTAATAAGGAGCGAAGAAAGGTCAAGGGGACTCCCCCTACTCTCCAATGCAACCTTCCATCAAAGCTCGCCTCATCTTCCCGTGCTAAATTTTCATTAAAAAAACAGAAAGTCATGTAGAATTGTATTAAACTCCTTGTTTCCCTTTAGGAATTGGATAACAGATTACATTGGATTATTTAACCTTGCGCCATTACACGTAGCTGCTGGTCCATTTTGCGGACTTCAAAGCCCTTTTGCCTTGACTGCAAAGAGTTACCAACATCGCCGTGCTCTGCTTTATTTCCGCACAAACAATGGATTTGCTTTCAAAGGTTTCACCTCTACCTACTTTGCTATTACGGATTCGTCAAAGATCAGTAAGTCACAAATATTACATAGATTAGATGACCCTAGCAAGCCTTTTCATCCAGGGTTGCATGGTTACGCGAGATGATCATTGTTCCTGTAGAACGTGGGCCCTAACAGAGGGGTTGAAAGTGGCCCGGGTTGGTCGCCCAACGCTTATTGTACTAACGACTACTTGATTTCCTGGCCCCGGCAAGCATGCTCCCTCATTCGCGTCGCTAAGATCCCAGGTTAGATCTGGAGTACCCTTGATATGAAGTTTTGAATCGATTAGCTGGCAAACCCGCCTGCCAGAGTGCCTTAAGAAATGATTGTGTTACCCCTTAGATGTTATTAAAATATTATTAGTTGCATTTTTCTAGCGGCTAAGTCCATAAGAATCAAAATTATACTATAGCATTTCTTACCTCACAGTAAATCAATCAGTCTCTTTTATTTGGTATCATTACTTGCAGAGTTATGCTCAGTCTAAAGTGAAAGAGAGAGCAATCACTTACTATTTCTAGCCTTGAACTCAGATTTTGGGCGAGTGAGGGAAAAGATGAAAAAATACATAACATACAAAGTGTCAAGAATTACATCAGTGTGAAGGTAAAATGGCTTTGTGAAGGCTATTTTCTTTCTTTACAGCTGTTTCTCTTGGCGCCATCAAAAATGTTGAGGTTCAGATGACTTGGAAATCCTCCTCCGACGGGGACAAAATTAAAGAATACTACATTCTTTATAAACCTGTCAAGGAAAAAGAAATCTGGAGATTTAAAAAGACTGTAACTCTGTCGGCTACACTGGTACCGCTTGAAACATTAACAGAGTACGACGTAAGAGTAGTTGGGTACACCAATGGCAGAGAAGTCTACGCGAGTAAGGTTACTCGCTTTACCACAAAAGGCAAGTTTATTGTTAAAGAAGTGAGTACTTTGTTATGTAGTACGGTGGCTCATAAGTGCCATGCAAAAATTGTGATTTTTTTATCGTTTTAGCGACTTTTCTAGCGACTTTTTTAGCGACTTTTTTAGCGACTTTTTTAGCGACTTTTTTAGCGACTTTTTTAGCGACTTTTTTAGCGACTTTTTTAGCGACTTTTTTCGCGGGCTCAAGTTGCACATTGTGACTGACCCACGTGGTAAGTTGAAATTCATACACGTCGTTGGAGGAGAAGAGCCGATCATGAAGATTTTCTTTATATTCAGCGTTATTTTTATACAAAGTTCTTCCCTGGAAGCTGTCATTCCCGAGTACTTGCCTGTAAATCTCGCTAAAAAAGTCGCTAAAAAAGTCGCTAAAAAAGTCGCTAAAAAACTCGCTAAAAAAGTCCTTTAGCGACTTTTTTAGCGACTTTTTAGCGACCGAAGTAATGCGGGCTCAAGTTGCTTCTCAAGAGAAGATGGCGGAACTCGAAACCGAAATCAATGAGGTAAATAACTCTCAGGTTCACGGTATTCACTGGAATTCACTAAATTTGCATAAAATAGCGCAGATTTCAACTTAACGCATTTTTCTGCTTATAAAGTCGCTAAAAAAGTCGCTAAAAAAGTCGCTAAAAAAGTCGCTAAAACGATAAAAAAATCACAATTTTTGCATGGCACTTATGAGCCACCGTAGTTATGTAATAAGGAAAGTGTTTTTTTTATGTGGTAAAGGTGACCCTAACACTGAAATTTAGGGAAGGTTTTTAGTGTCATGGAGCCTCATCCAAAATTTGACATGTGAAACTGATTGATGCCAGTAAAGAGATATCTTTACGTACTGTAAGTCATACTTTGAGTTCATAAACTAATAGGTCTTTTTGTATATTTTGGAATGAATTGTAGGTGACAAATTTGAATTCTCAAATTTCTTGTTCTTACCTCTCTACAGAATCAGATGACGGTGGTGAACCAACTAAGGCCCCAGAACCAGGTGATTTTCCTCAAAATTTTGATATTTCATTCTTCTTCTCCTTTCTCTTTCGCCATCTCTCCTCCTTCTTCTCAACATACATTTTTTCACGATTTCTATTCAGATTTCTTCCTCTCTACAGAAATTCACTAGATATTGCAGAGCTTCTGCAATCACTCAAACAAAGGATGTTGTAGACATTCTTTGACCACCCAGCCCCTGGATGTTGCCAACGTTCTGCATGCAACCATCAATTTGCTGGATGCTGCAGAAATTCTTCCATATCCAGTAAATTGAAGTGCGCTTGCTTTAGCACTGAATTTTGTGTAATTGATAATTTAATCCATTGTAGATTTGTAAAAAAAAAAATTTTATTATTTTTATCTCAGCCCCAATCCTACGGATGTATCCTTACGGGATTGACGCCGGAGACTCAGTCATTACATTTCCGTCGAGAACTGAGTGCTTTAGAATTGGCAGAGAAAAATTTGAAATTGGTGGTTTTCCGTTCTTTGACAGAAGGCACAGGAAACTTCACGTAAGTCACTAAACCCAGAGCTCACAAGCGTTTATTACATTTATTCGTTTTAAATCAATTCTCAGACAAGTGAAAGTATTCCTATTTGAATGGTAACTCTATTATTTAATTCGGAACTCAAATAGAACGCTCTGTTCGTGGAATACATTTCGAAAAATGTGGGAAAACCTCCACACGTTTTCCTTTTTACCGGCCATACAGCAAAGGTTTATCAAGAAAGTTGTTCCTTCGTAACGGTATTATTCTGTGATAATGTCTAGCCAATAGACCTTTACGATATATATTCCTACGGTTGAAAACATGCAGATAAAGGTCATTTGCGTCATAGCCTTTACCCTCTTTGTGTTTCATGACTTGTGTCGCTTAGTGCCATCGCTGTTCTATTGACTCGGTTGCTCGAATTTTCGTCCATTTGGGTCATTCACTGAAAGTCGTATACTATGTTTAGGTCGGGTTCAAGGAAAAGGTTGCGCGTTGGGTTGAATAGCCTCTACTGAATAATACTGAGCTCAGGCCAATTTAGTTCTTCCTTTTCAACACATTAGATATGTCCAAATGGAGCTATCCAGTTCGAACGAGACGGACTCAATGAGAAAGCATACAACTTTGGTCAAAGACCTTGGCTTAGATATTTCTCAATAATTGCTCCTTATTGGGCACCGACCGACCTTGAGTCGTTCAAAAGTGGTCCTTCGAAAGTTTTCTATCATTTGTATGATGCAAGACAAGCGGGTTCCATTGCAATCCTAGAGAACGCTACTTCCGATGTACTTGGCAAATTCAGTGGGGAACTGCCACAAGGAAAAACATTTAACGCATCTTGGGTGCTTGTAGTTACGTGGAAAGATATTCGTCACAAGGTCTTGAATGATGACACTAAAACTTTGGTGAGTTACACGTGCAAATCTTATCTGCTTAAATTGTTTAACAGCCGCCCCTCAAACCAAATGGCTACCAAAAAATGGAGAACATAAGCGTGATAGGCTGTCAACCCGAGTAACAATGTTTACAGTCTTCTGGTTTGTTCATTTTAAACCAAAAGTTGCGAAAAATATACACTATGCCTTTTTAAAGTGTTTGCCTTTCTTAACCAACCGATCCTTATAGCTGGCTAGCTGATTGACTCGTTGATTTGTTTACTCTTCGACGGAGCGACTAGTTCACTGTTGACTGATTAATCGATCGATATTTAACAGCTATTCACCGAAGTGGAGGTGGTTAGTGGTTGATATTTACCGAGCCACGAAGCGGCGAGGTAAATATCCACCGCTAACCACCGACACCGAGGTGAATAGTTGTTTTAGTATATACTAAAATAGTGAGATAACATGCACCACCGTCGTTAATTTGAGCGATTTCTTCGCTTGTCATGGATGAAAACCGGGACGCCATTTTTTCCCGAGTTGCTCGGAGGTAAATAGCCAAGGATATTCGGAGTTTGACCAGCCAATCAGAGCGCGCCTAACGCTATCCACTGTTTCAGTATATACTAAAAAGACCTATCAAATGATTGATTGATCGATAATTGATCAAATGACTGATACGATAAATGGAACTATTGATTCATTGCAGATAACGGCTGGACTGATCGAATAGTTCATCTATCAATTGATTGCTTTATTAGATAGGACAAATGCACACGTGTTTTCCAATCATTGAGAGGATTTACGAAGTTGTCCATAACTTTTAAATAAGCTTTAACTTTATCTCATATTTGCTTTAATTTTCTTTTTGATTTTAGCACAATACATTTCAAACTCTACTGATTACTGATGGCATTTTCTCCTTTACGATGTTCAACTACCCCCATAACGGAATACAATATTCAGCACCAACGAAACGGTGGGTCATAATAACCTCTACATCCCTCTACATTAGTTAGTAAACGTAAAATGAAATAAAATAAAACAGGAAACTAATTTAGACGTTAAGCGTTAAAATTGACTATGCACAAAACCGTTAGTCGTAAATAAATATAATCGTGTGAATTTCTCTTTTAATTGCAACGGAAGGAAATTACCATTTAGCCTTAGAATGGCCAAATTTTTAACTGTTAGTGGTAAGAACCATCACCGTCCTCTCTGCCTACTTATTCTTTTCTTGTATAGAGGAATATCTTCAGGAGGATGAAGTTCTGTAAAATTGATCTTTGATCTTCTTAGTCTATTCTTAGTGAGTTTATGCTTTGGTAATACTTTCTTTCTTTACTATTTTCTTTTTCTGAAAAAGTAATATTAATTTCTTATGTGTTTTTTATTTTATCGTAATTTTTTTTTGCAGTGAATATTATGAATACTTTTCTAACTACAAACAATTGCCTGTTATTGGCTGGAATGCTGGTGACAGCGACAATAATTATGTCAACTACCAAAGGTATGAGAGATAACTATTCTTTAAGGGAAGGCGAGCCCTTTTCCTGATCGGTTTTTATCACAGTAAGCACAAAGCTCTGGAAAATTACCTAGAATTTCTACTTAGGGTCTAAGAGATCTCTTTCATAAATACTGTGCCTAATATTGCTCATATTTTATATTCACATAAATATACCATTTGTTTTTGACGACTTTTTCAAAGACCACAAACCACTCGTTCCAAAGCGAGTTCAGGAGGGCAAATGTGCACGCAAATAAAATGATAATATTAATGCCCGCCATTTTAAGTGATTTAAAGTCTTTTTTAAGACGCCATCTCAACACATTTGAGTGAGTCCAAGCGCTCCACCATATAAATTTGGACTATGAGGAGGATAGGGCTCGAAGGGGGCCGATAGATGGGCGATATTGAACAAATACTGTTAAAACTGTTCAATTATTTATTATTCGATTTATAACTGGCGCAATGGGATCAATAAGATGTTCTGGCTATGGGTTAAGACGTAGTATTTCGTTCACGAGGAAATCCACAGTCATTGCTCTTATTAACCCCTTCACTCCCCATTAAACCACTAGTTATATTCATTTTCATTCATGTTCGTAGCACGTTTAGCCTTCAAAATCAAATATCGAAAAATTCTGCTACAAAAACTGCTGCTGATTCTCTCTTACTTAGGGTTAGAACTTTAATCCACAGGTCAGGAACTGTTCAAGCTGAAACTATCGATAATCTCGTTGGAAATGCTAAGATACCTGGAAGATGGATCTTCCGACTTGAAAATTCGAATGGCGAAGAGGACAGTGACTTGAAGTGTGAAATGTGGTATTTCAAGGAGAGGAAAGCTTTATTCTTCTACAGGAAGGAGCCAGATCCGTGTCCCTGTACCGGGGTTCAAGGATACTTTGATGATCGATATGAATGGGTAGAGGCGGATTTCCCCTTCAGCTACTGTTTTTACACAAAATTCCCCAGAGAAGGGCGTGGCCGTAAATGCTGCTATTACACCACCTTAGATAAATTGGCAGCCCTTATTATCGGATTCCCTGGTGGAGGTTCCCTCCATCGATACCACAGCCTTACTGCGTCACTGAAAGACCAACACGAAGCAAGTGACCTCGACGGATTCCGATATTGCTGTCTACAGGCTAAGAATCCATTAATGTGCAGAAAGTATTATGAATTACGACCATCTAAGGGATGCGATGGATACGAACCACCAGAGTGGAGTAAGTTGTTGTTGTCATTATTACAGTTTACATTACTGTATTTTCTTTCATTCTCATGGAAGTATTATTACTTGTTGTAGTATGGGTGCTGATGTTCCTTTGTCCACATCCTATTTGCGGCCACTTTTTCCAAATCAATAGTAACCATCTTCTTGGCATTTAAAGAAAACATGATCTCCTAAAGTATCACTTTTGATTTGCCTGTCTCAAATTAAAAGCCACCTAAATGATATTTCATTTACGATTACTAAATTACCATGTTTCACTTTCTACTGTCTCTGTACCTACAACAGCCTTGTATCTTTATAACTGTTTTTATAACTGCTTGCTCGGGGAAAAAAAGGAAGTCTACAGGTACTCCTGTAAATCATATGAAGCACTCACAAAAGCCTTATTCAAAACAGAATATTTTAAACAAATAGTAAACACCACAGCGTACACTATTGAGTTATGGATGCACGCGGGAGGTTGCTAAGCACGAAAGAAACGTAAGAGTCACGCGAGGCGATAGCCGAGAGGGACTGTAGCTTCTTGAGTGCTTAGCAAACCTCTCAAGTACATCCATAACTCAATAGTGTACACTGTGGCGTTTGCCATTTGTTTTATAACATAACATTCATACATTGTAGCGAGAGTTTCCTTTTATTTAACAAATCTTACGTGACCAGAAAAAACAAGCGCGCGCAGAAAACTAGTCTTTGCATTTGCTCACGTCAGCAGCGTACACCCATGGGCAAATGGGGGACGCTGGATTGACCAATCAGACCACGTGCTTTACTTTGGTTATGTTATAAATTAAGTTATTTTTTTAATTAAAACTCCTTGTATCTCGAGAAAAAATGTTACTTTCATCAAATCTCTTAGCTTATAGTTCTCTCTCAAAGTTACGTTTCTGTTCTTTTTCCTACAGGCTGGTTGTGGGGCGATCCTCACATTGTGACGTTAGACGGTCAAAACTACACATTTAATGGCCTTGGGGAATACACTATGGTGGAGTTACAAGATGCATCATTCCAGCTGCAAGCTCGAACGAAACTTGCTAAAGGAGGAGGAACAGCAACCGTTTTTGTCGCAGCTGTGGCAAAAGAAAAAGATACAAGCACTGTGCAGGTTAATTTGAAAGATGAAGGTAAGTCAACGAAAAGAGATTTCCCTAGATTTTTTCTTGTAATAAAAAAAAGCCAACTGCGTTTTAACTTATTTGATGCATTATACGTCCATAAAAAAAAAAAAAATTACTTCCTTCTAAGCGATAGACATTTAGGGAGCTTTCATGGCGAATTCTACCAGTATATGGTTTTCAGAAAATTGCTTGAACTTCTTAAAAATGATTGTTTGAAGATACGTTGCTCTCTCTGAGTGATTTGAATAAAGCTGAAGAAAGATCATCTCCTCAGCAGACAATTGCTTGCATAATAATGCAACAACAAAGCTTAGTGATCTAGTTGTAACTAGGGTCGAACACTTACACTCTGAATAATAGAAAGCACGAGATAGCTTCGTGAGAAATCCTTTCGTTTAAATCATAACTTTTCATTGCAGGAGGTTTAGAGGTGCTCGTGGATAGTGTTGTTTACCAAAACTACACTTCCTTGACAAACATCAGTAGAACTCTCGACGGATCTGTGTCAGTTGCCCGACCAGAAAATAACTCCTTCCTCGTCGCGTTTCCGTCTGGAATATCTGTAACAATTACTGAAGTGCAAGGATCACTTTCCATAGTTTTCGCTGCCCCAACCAATTTGAAAGGGAAAACCAAGGGACTTCTGGGCACATGGAACGACGACGTAGAGGACGACTTTCTGAGACCGGATAACACGACATTACCATCTAATTCTACAGGCAGAGAGATACATTTTGAATTCGGGTTGAAGTGTAAGTTTTATAGCTTGCGATGGTCATATCGCTCTTCCTTTCCTATTTTATATAGAAGAAAGCCTGAACTCCTCTGTTTGCCATGTTGGACAAAAAAAGATAGAAGTATGCGAAAGTTTGGAGATGATATCACTTTTTGCTCGCCTCGCTATTGAGTCACGTAACTATATTTATGATAATTTTCCGGGAAAAAATGGAGAGCTGAGTATTTGTACACTGATGTTTATCCTTAGTTCCGTAGACATCCGCTTTAAAAGCTATGCTAACTTCATCTATAAGCGATTTGCTGCATTTCTCTGATCAGAATATAGATACAAAACTAACTCTTACACATTTTGAAGGCATAATACGGTATAATTTAATAAAGCACTTTGTATAAATGGAGAACGAAGATACGATTTTCTCGTTTCCTTTTGTCTTTAATTAGATGATAGCTCGTAATGAAATTACAGAGGAAGATTTGTTTATCATTTGTTATATTGGTGTATTTTATAACGAAGCTGAATTTGACGCTATGTTACAGGGCAAGTAACGTCAGACACGAGCCTTTTCACTTACAAACCTGGAGAAAATACGAGCTCTTTCGTAAATGAATCATTTGTTCCAATTTTTCTGGACGAGCCCATTCCGTTTGCTAGTGATGAGCTGAAACAGAAGGCCGAGGCTGTATGTGGAGGGGATGCCAACTGTTTGTTTGACATAGCATCTACCGGAGACGTTGAAGTAGGAGCCAGCACCAAGCAAGTTGCAGTGCAGTTGGAAAGTGAATCCCAAGAATTACGTAAGTATACAAAACTATATTCCCAGCCATTTAAAAGACGTTAGTAAGGCGGAATACCCTTAAAAGGTCATCACGGATCAACAAATCAGTGTCTAGTGATTCGGCCACTGATAAAAAGCCAGTCGTTGTATTTTTACAAAAGCTGCCTTTCAACTTGTAAATTCATGAAAAGGTGTACCAATCATGAAAACAAGGCATGTTGTAGAAGAATGGTCGAGAATGACTTTTAGGCGGCTGATATATTTCCCTTTTTTTAGCTGTCTGTAGACGTTAATTTACAATTTAACTACTTTGTTTTGGGATATAACTCTTAACATCGCTTTCGATTATTCACCTTCATTCGTTTCCTATGACAATAGACTATGAACTCAGGGTTTCCATCGCGCTGTAGATGATGAGGGCGAAGCAGCTTCTTTTTTTTTTTCGTAGAAAACCTGTAAATTCATAATAGTGAAGGATTTTTTCTTTAATCGTTCAGAAAATTTCCCTCCAAAGATTTTGGTTGGGCCAACTGAGCTTAACATTACAGTCAACACCACAGCAAACGTAACGATTGTGGCGCAGGATCCTAACAACGACACGATAACTTTTTCTGTTACTGGGACACTTCCAAAGGGGTATACGACATCAACCACCGATTCCTCATTGTCATTTAAATGGGAAGTGACCACTGATAAGGTAACTTGTTTGAATATGCTAGAAAACGTTACGTGTAGTATAAGTAATAACTTACTAGAGCGAACCCATGAATGAGGCCAATTGGACTGGGAGGAAGTTGATGAAGATTGTCAAGGACATAAGGGCGTCGGTGAAAGTGAATGGAGGAGAGCAGGACAAAAGGGAAGTAGCAAGTTGAATGAAGTGGGGATTAAATGATAGAGCAGGAAGAAAGAGAGGAAGATTCAAGAATAAAATAGCCACATTAGGCCCATCTCTATTTCCAATTTTATCCCCTCTCTCATTGCTAGACCAGGTAACATATCATGTAAGTCTGGTAGATTGCCTTCGTTTGAAATTATATCTCTCCATCTGGCAGATCGACATACAGTTCATAGTGGCCGATGCAACAACTAAAACAGTTTTACAGCCAAGTATCAACATCTGCGCATGCCAAAACCAAGGGGTTTGCGCACCCGTGGAGGAAGAAGATGCTGACAACAGTGCTGACAGCAACGAGAACAAATTTACTATTCTGTCATGCACCTGTCAGAATGGTTATACTGGAACTTTTTGTGATGCAGATCTCGACGCCTGCGAAGAAAATTTCCAACCATGTTACCCGGGTGTGACTTGTAACGATTTGCCAGCGCCTGCAAACAAAACAGGGTTCAAGTGTGATCCTTGCCCGAACGGGTATTCTGGTGATGGAATAGAATGTTCAGGTAACTGTTATTCTTTTTATCAGTGGATCTAGGGGAGGGGGCACGCTCCCCCCTTTTTTTGGGTAAAATAAAACGCATTGGGCCGGTTGGTGAACACACACAAACAAAAAAACGCTCCCCCACCCCCCTTAGTTCAAGATATGAATCCGCCCAATGTCTATGTATGTGTAATCAAATGGCGACGAGTGAAATTAGGAAATTATTTCAAGCTCGTTTTGTCAAAATTCTGATAATTTCCCGAGCCTTTAGGCGAGGAAAATTATCGGAATTTTGACAAAACGCAAGTGAAATTATTTCCTAATTTCACGAGAAAACCATTTCATTACCTTCTAATATCGTGGGTGACAAATTACGTCTTGTTTACACACGGAGGCGTAAAATCGCTCGGGTACTTTATCCAACTGCTCGGGAAGAATCATCTCCAGGTTTTTCTCGAGGCTATTTTCGTCATACCACTTCTCAAAAACTCACACCCAGTTAATTGTGCTCTTTCGCGTATTTAAATTTTCGGCCGCTTCTTTTAATTTCGTAACTTCTTCAAGGGTGACCGTCTTAAATCTCAACGCCATCTTGGCCCTGATCGAGATACAAGAGATGTTACCATGGCAATTTATTTTGTAATTTCACATGTGAAATTAAAATTTAAAGCTGAAATTTCGCGCCAAATTAAGGAGTATTTGTCACCTATGATATTAATAAAGAAATTCCATATTTCTAAAAGCAAAATGATATAGAAATTTTGAAAGGCGTAATCCTTAGAAAACAGACAATGAGGAACAGTAATGGGGTTGAGTGGAGTCTAATTCTCTTAGCAATCAAACGAGTATAATTACAGACACCAACTCCTGTTACCGGTTAATCAAAACTAGATAAATAAAAAACGAAGGATGTTATTCGAAAATAATCGCGCTTAAGAGCGAATTCCGAAATTGTTTACAATTTAAGGGGTTCATTGATTAGAAAATAGTCACAAATATATTGGACTGGGCCCTATATATATATATATATATATATATATATGAACACAGGCTTATATACAACGTTAACTTCGCAAGGTTATATGTCGATGATAGGTAATGAAAAGGGAATACCTAAATTTATGTTTACCCATTGAAAATTTAAGATGATTAAAAATCATGCGACTGGAGGTACATTGCAGGGCAAAAACTCTTTTTAAAACACTCAGACTTATACGCAAACAGTGTTGGTATATTGTTAAATCTAAGATAACGGTCGTGAGCGCTCACTTGGATCCGTGGTATGAAGTGGCTTAGGCGTCAATCAGGCTGTCGCATTTTTTAAAACGTTTTTTCCCACGGCGCATCAAGTCTTGTGTGCATAGACGCACATTTGGCGTGGTTTAGGGCTTCGCCATAACTCAGTGTGGGACAAATGATGCGTAGAGCACAGCTCTGTACCCGTTGAATTTTGTCGGACAGATGAACGATTAATGATAAATGCTATTCATGCAAATGCCAAACGATCCAGCTATCTGTGATACATTTTCTTTAAAAAAGCAATGGTTAACACGGTCACATGGGCGACAACAACATGCGCACTTTTCAATTACACTGGCAAACGTGTACACTATCCTATTAGTGCTCAAAGGGAGCTGGTGATATCCAATTACGTTGGAGAATTTTGCTTTGATTTTGATGGAGTAGTAAATCCTTCTCTACCTCTGCACTTTCCTTTGCATTTTCAGACGTCGACGAATGTAATAAGAACACTGATGGCTGCAGCGACACCTGTATCAATACTCCCGGATCATTTGTGTGCCAGTGCAACGCGGGATACTCTCTTGGGATAGACAAGAAGACATGCACAGGTAAACCTAAAGAAAATAATGAGCGGTTTTGTTTTGTTATCCTCAAAACACACTTTTAGGGCTGGACCGCCTCCCGGTTAGCTCAGTTGGTTAGAGCGCCGGATTGTGATGTGCGGGATGTCGAGGGTTCGAGCCCCGGCCGGACCAATATTTGTGGTCTTAAAATAATTGAGGAGAATTTCCGAATTACGTTTGGCCTCTTTTCAAAACGAGGCCTGGTGCTCAACCATACGTATGAAAATGAGTTTAATTTGTATGTGAATGAAAACTTATTACCATACGAAAGGATGAGCACCAGGACTCGCTTTGAAAAAGAGGCTAAAGGAAATTCGGAAATAGGCTATTTGCTGCCTTTCTATAACATCAAGAAATGGATAGATACTCTAGTCTTCTCGGATAAGGACGAATAAACCGTAGGTCCTGTTTCCTGCAGGATTAGAGGTAGGAGACGTTAATTTCCCACGCACGAGATTACTATGTGGTGGATGTCCTCCCCTGGGGTGGGATGGGTGGGGTTTCCAGGGTGTAGAAACCTAGTAGAGGACTTAGAGTCCTATTGTTTCTACATCTACTTTATGGTAAATCTCTGAATAAAAAAATAAAATAAAATAAAAGAATAAAGCCATTTTCGGTCGCTCATCGAAGTCACATCTTAACTCAACCCAAGAAGTTAATGTGAATACGAAGGGGGGAGGGAGGTACATTTCATCTGTTTCCTTGTTTTTCTCGCTGATTGCCTTTCGCTTTATTTTGGTATTTGTTTGGGGGTTATTTATTTATTTTGTTTGTTTTAACTTTCCTGTCCTAAATTAGGTGGTACTTTTTGTTATTTTGAGTTTTGCTATGCTCTTACTTGTGTATAAATTCCGTTGGTTCATAACTTTGCTATTTTGAAATTAAACAAATTACTTAATTTTTTAAGGGTCTAGAGCTATTTTTCCTGATCGTCTTTGCTAACAGACATTGTTTAATTGTCTTTCAAACTTTTCCTTTAGATATTGATGAGTGTTCTCCAGTCGGTAATTGTATGCATGTTTGTGAAAACACCCAGGGAAGTTATAACTGCAAATGCAATGCAGACTTCAAGGTGGACCCGGATGATTCAAAGAAATGCATACGTGAGTAATTTAGTGTCACTCTTCAGATCACTTCTGTTTAATTTCCTGTGAAGAGGTTTGATCATGAAATATGCTGGCTTTTTATTCTTTAAGACTTCATTTCATCTCCAAGCTGCTGAGATCCTATTTTTGGATTTAGACTAAACACATTATCTTAGTGAAGAAGTGCTCTTAAACGTAAAATCTAATCGCAGTCTTCATACGGAATTCTCTCTTGTTTCAAATGAAAATTCCACATGCCTGTGAAATTTGTTACGTGAAAGGCACGCGAAATTTATTTCAAAAGCCTCTGAAAACGTAATTATCCTTTCACACATTATTTTCAATACTTCTTTTGAAGGATGCCTACAATATAAAAAAATTTACTTCAAATTTACAAAAATTTTCCGAAATTCCTTTCACGTTTTTGTCTGCGCGGTGGTGATTAGAAATTGTTTTTGAAATCGCTACCCCTTTAAAATTTATACCAATACTTTGCTTTCACAACGTAGCTATGAATCCTTGTGAAGGAAATCACGGCTGCCAGCATGTCTGCTACCAGTCCAATGGCCAAGATAAGTGTTCATGCAATGCAGGGTATGAGTTGAATGGAGATGGAAAAACGTGCTCAGGTAAGTAAACATTTCCGAGATTTACCCAGTGTCGATTGATAAGAACCGATTATTTCCGATTTATTTTCATACATTTGTTAGGCATTTTTGAGTCTCCATTGTTGCGGTAGTAACACACAAACGCACATGCAAAAATCCCCACCACATGCAAAAAACTAGATGAAACCAAAACAAACCCTAATAGCCATTTATCTCTTTCCCATTACTTTCTTTCTCTCGCTCTTCCTCTCTTTCCTAGTTTTTCATTGTCTTCTTTCTGTGATAAGGTTGACAATATTTCCTAAATTCTCTTCTCAATTGGTGCTTTATCATTAGAAGACATCACTCCGGAAGAGATAGTTTAGGGGAATTTATCCAATTCTTTGGCTTTTTCTTTAGTCATTTTTAACTTGTATCAACCCACATTGGAATGTATCTGCCAGTAGCTTTTAAAAAAACATTCACACCAAAGCAAAATGACGTACAGGCATTGCTTTTTCAAACACTTTTTAGATGTGGATGAGTGCTCTTCAAGCGACAACAACCGATGTAGTCAGACTTGTAAAAACACAGTGGGAAGCTATGAATGTTCCTGTGTAGCCGGTTTTAAACTTGACAGCGATAGCTACGCTTGCAACGGTAAAAGCTACATGCCTGTATACTCTAACCTTGACTGACAATCTCTACGTTAACAATCCCTAAATATTAATCTGCGTTACAAGTTTTAGAAATGAGGCACCTTTTGCTGTCATTTAGAATTTACCATTTTAGATATTTTGACTGATAAAATGAAGTTTCCGTCACAGTGGCAAACTTTGCTACGTTTTAATTAGTTTTATTTCTACCCTAGATATTGACGAATGCATGGAGTTTACGTTTAGCTGTGATCCTTCGCAGAAGTGTGAAAACACGCCTGGTTCCTACAAGTGCGTGTGCGATGAAGGACTCTATTGGATAGATAACATGTGCAAAGGTGACTTGGAAAATTAGAATTTTGCGCACTGAGCTCGATCAATCAGTATATCGATTAATCAATCATTCTACAATCAATTCGACTAATTGTTCATTTTCCTAAATAAAAATAAATCATTTCATTTAGGAAATGAGCAACTGCTGATGGCCGTATCGAACCTCTAATTTCGGTCATCATTGCTAAAACTAATTATAGTTAGTGTAAGTGGTTATGCGTGAGCTGGCTAGTTTACTCAGCAATTTGCGAAGAGTTTGAGAGATGAAAGGAATAGGGGAATACGCTTAGCTCTGCTAAACAATTCCAACAGCAAAATCATAGGATGCGACCAGAAGAAACCTACGTTTCTTATCTTGTGGGATGGATGACTGGTGGGCATTTTTTTTTTAATGCTACAATGCCTGCCGATTGTGATCAAGAATGTATTCCTTTTAATAAGTACGGGTGATATCTATTTTAAAGAGTCTTGACTGATAACCTAATTACGTGAATATTTGAGCACGAGAATGCACGAGGAAATTGTGCTTGAAATGACGTGTCAAGGGAACACGTCATTTCAAGCACAATTTCGATAATTGGAGAAGCTCTTTTAAGGTAGATAATATCTCTTCATCTTCTCTACCTCTGTAGGGCTCGAAAAAGGCGAGGCTCCTCCACCACCCCCACCTGCCTCAACCCCAAGGACACCAACAGATGAAGAGAAGAGTGAATCAGTCAATGTCGAGGCAGCCCTCGATATCTCTCTGGTAAGCAACAAGGAATACGTGCTTGTAATAAACTCCACTGGCTTCATTTCGTCCTTTCTACTACATTGTAGCAGAATGACAGTAGCTTTGGATCTCAGACTTTTCTTTGCCATTCTGAAAGTTTGGAAAAACATGTCAACTGTCAGTATGGTAGATTATCCTTATTAGCAGATTATTCAGGATATTTTTTCAAATATCAGTTCTGTTACACTGAATGATCTTTTCTCTTAGTGGAACGCGGAAGTTGAAGAGAAGTTCAAAACTACCCTTGCAGAAGCAGCTACCACACACTGCGCGACGAACGACGACTGCAAGTCCAAGGAAACAGGGTAAAGATTAAATTTGTCCATTTGCAATATGGCCGATCCACTGACTTATCGTCCGTGTCACACAGACTGAGTAAGATATTGCCTACCAGATCAACATTTTGGGAAAATCGAGTATGGTGCACTTAATGACTGAGTGACGACTGACCAACCGACCACCGACCGACCGAGCGACCGACCTATCGACGGACTCATTGATGGACCGACCGACTGACGGACAGCTTGACTGACTGACTAACTGAATATTCATCGTATAACCTTAGATTGGCCGACTGTCTATCACCACGAACGTAGATCTGCTTATTAGCAGACTTCAAGTTTGACAAAGTGACACAGCTAGGCAGAGACCGTAAGGCTAATAAAGGTCATCTCTTTGACCCAGGGAGTTACCACCGTAGCCGTAGCCAGGGCACCCGTTCTATATCGCGAGCAGCGTCCGAAGGTTTTCAATCCAAAATATTTTGAACTTCATCATATTTTAGATCAATTATACTAATCCACCTTCGTCTATTATATCTCCTTCTAGTTCAAGGCGCCGGAGAGCAGCGAGCTACGTTACATTTACCGAGGATCAAGTTCATCTTTTGCCCGGTTACCCCAAGCAAATATCTGTAGTACCTCTCCTGGCAAGCCTCGCATTTTATCTACAATTTCCTCCTGGATCGTCGGCTCCCGTCATAAAGAAAGACGTCTTGGCCGCCATCATCCAAGGGTCACTGTCTGAGCTCTCAAGCTCCATAAACGCCAATATATCGAGTGTACAAATTCTTTATGCCGATACAACGACGACAACGACAGGAACGACTCTTATGACCACAGCGATTCCGACAGAAAAAGACAGATCTAAAATGCATGCCATCGTTGGTGGATGTGTTGCTGGTGCTGTGATCCTCATTCTTGTCATTATTGCCATCGCCTGGTATTGCAACAGAAGAAAGAAGAACGGGTATGTAAAAACACAGTAATTTTGGTTTTATCGACCCAGTCGACAAACTACATTGGCCAACATAAAGGATTTCAAAACTGACGTTTCTAGCGTTAGCCCTTCGTCATTCGTTCCCACGAAGGGCTAACGCTCGATACGTCAGCTTTGAAACTCTTTACAGTGGCCAATTTACTGTATCAACTCAGTTGTTAAAACTAAAACTACCTTGTTACTCCCACCGACGCAGCACCACAGTTTCTTTAGAAACTCACCCCCTTTATTCATATGTAAATACACATCTTTGTCTAATGCTGTCGTATTGCAATAGAGGGTAACTCTGCTGACTGTGCTCAATATTCTCCTATGTTCTACCGACATTTCTCCATCCATTGGTAACGAATTTAAGAAGACTACTGGTGCAATGAAAACACCGTAAAAAAGATAGTTGACGCTTTGTCATTGAGTGAGATCGAAATTTCCGAGATTGAAATACCAATTCAATTCCTTAACATCGAACCCTTCCTGCCCTGGAAAAAATCGAGTCTTAGTTTTTGTGGTCATGCACCATGCAAGAGAGGGGGGGGGGGGGGGGAGAGTGGGTTAGGTGGAGTATTGTATTGAGGAGTAACACATTTAAAGTTTCCAAGTAACTTTTTACTCTCCCGTCTACGCAATGGTATATGTTAATTAGCTTTGCTACATATCGTTACATCAGTGAAATCGTAGCCCTGTGAGATAGAGATTATGACAGACAAAACTTTGTTGTAGTTTTTCGCTTTTGTTTTAGTTATTTCACCAATTATGGCGCTAGGTAAAGTAAAACTGAACGGAAAGAGGTTCCTGCGATATTTATTACTTTGAATGCTTGAGGTCGACACACCCTTAATATGTATGGCCTCATATTACATTAATCATTTCGCAGACTTTTTCTGGCATAGAAAATAATTCTGATTTGCTCATATTAAGAGTTGGGAAACAACGAGTCGACAGTGAGCGGTCAATTTCCCGACAAGTCTCAGGGATGGAGATGGCAGCTGTTAATGATGCCTATATGACGAGCCAAGATTCTTTTCTACCAGGATCAGTGGAGCCACAGTATGCAGAACTAAAGCCACAATATGAAGAACTGAAACGGCCCGAAAATGAATATACTATGTTGAATAGTAAAAGGTAAAACCCGGAGGAGAACATGGCGTTCGTAAGCAAATTTCTTCGCTTAAATCTTAAGTTGGTTTGTTTTAAATGGTGCGCTTAACATCATGGAGTATGAGGACATCTTCTTTTCTGTACATGTTTATAGATAGTTCAACACTAAGGGAGGAGACTCTCTGGCCTTTCAACATTACTTATTATTCTACTTGAATTTTGTTTCACTCCTTAGTTTTTCTTTTATTTTCCGTTACATCACAAAAGTGTGCGTGTGTGTCAATTTGTGTTTTATTTCTTTGTACTTTATCTTAACCCCTACCGTACTTATAGTGTTAAGGAAAGAGCTCGTATTATTCGAGATCCCCCAGTTTCAATGTGGCTTTCCTCGGAGGAAATCCAGTATGATCTATTTTTAATACATCTTATCGATACACGAGCGGTAAATATTTTCTGGCAAAATAGGCAACTAAAAGTGTAAACAGACTCTTAAAGAGAAAAGTGAAACTTGACAGCATGTCTGGAACATTTTTCGCTGATTGAACGAAAATTTTTGTACTTTTTTTAGAAGTTATTGCTATATGTTTCATGAGTACAAAGAGAGAATAGCTTAAGTATGGCTGTACTTCAAGGAAAAGCTCGAGGAAGTAGTTAGCTTTTTAATTGATTAAGATTTTCTGTGTTGCCTTTTTTTTTAAGTTGCATGTTTCTCTTGTGGTTAGTTTAGAGAAACCATGCACTTGGATTATTAGTACGACAAATAGTTACAATAAATTAAAATAAATACGTTTGCTTTCTCTGATTTTTTTCGTCACTCCCTTATAAGGGATGATGTGCCCAGACTTTCAGCCCATGGTTTAACCCTCTCTTCCCCCCCCCCCTAGATCTTATTAGTAATTCTCCGCAATATCCGCCTTACAATTCTTATGGTTTTAGCTCAGTATTGTATTAATATTGGATCAACTAATAATCCCCTAATTTAAATTTTTCTTTATCTTCATCACTTTTCTGCTTGATATTGTATTGATATTGTAAGGAGAAATTCTGTCTTCTGGTCATTCATGGAAATTAAAATGTCGGGGTTGTAAGCCTGCAACTGTTTCCTAGATTCTTTGAAAGATCCATATCAGGAGAAGAGAATCAATGAGGTCCACTGCTTTGCAGAGTTAGTGTGACGAACTACTTAAAGAAACAATTCGACTCTTCTTTATGATTGCAACTTACTTTAAATGGGGACGTTTAGGAAAGGGGGGGGGGGGTATCAAGGTGAACTTAAGACCATGAGAACGTACATAAAGATACATTTCCCCTAACATTTTCAAGAGGTGTTTTTGGTAGCAGAGGTACTAACGGTTTCATTCCGACTTAAGTGACTCCAGGAAGGAAGTCTTAAAATCAATAATTATTGAACAGATTTGAAGTAATCCCCACGATGTGGACCTCCCGTTGGTATTCAAACTAATTTAGTACCTCTTTAGTTCTAAAGTCCTAATTTAAAACTCAGTCACTCAAACTTTTTTTATTGATACCCTATTTACTCTAAAATTTTACTTGAAAGTACATCTAGGTGGTGATTTTGGAAAAAAAAGAATGATTTTGCAAAACAAGACTATTTTTCTTCAACATAAATTCAATGTTCCTCTGCCCTAATAACAACTGCACTACAAACGAGAATTGAAAGGCAGGTTTCACAGTTCTTACCTTTTACAGTTCCATGATGAGTGCCCTGTGCAGCCCCCTTTCCTTTCAAAGAGGTACAGAAAGAAACGAAAGGATCTTGGAGGACGGAGGGATGCACTACTGTTGCCGTGCGATACTACCTTGTTTTCGTTACTTCGGAAAAAATAATGATTAACGCTGATAAATAATATGCTTAAACAACGCTATGAAATAGAAGCCTCTATCTAGAAGCCATTGGCAAATTTTATAATAGAGCTACAACTGTACACAAGAGTTCCTGTTTTTTTTAAAGAAGTACAAACTTTTAAATTCGTCCTTTTATCCTCTGCCCTTGGCCATGTTTGTCAAGTTTTAAGTTTATCATTTGCTTTTAGTGAGTAAACCTCATCATAACAAACAAAATATTTTCAGCTATTCTCCTAAATGAAAGGTAGTTTGCTCGCCTCGAATAACGACTTAAAAGATTATGACGTAGCTCTTTTTCTCTCCCAAGATCAGACCCTTAATCCTTTAAACCCTAAAAGTGGCTAGCATTTGAATTCTCATTGCAGTAATAGTTAGTTTGGAATCCTTCATTAAGATTGTAAGAGGAAAGGAAATGATCGCCAACTTAAGAAGTTTTGATTGTTAAACAAATTCTCCTTTCCAGTGCCAAAGGAAATGTACAGAGGAGAGCATTGAGAACATGGACACTGATGTTAGGGTGTGGACAGTTAATTGCCATCCAAACGTTTCTTGGTTGAAAGTTTTTTTCTGTCATCACTTTTCTTCTCGAAAACGGGTCCATGTTGTGGAGAGAAATTGCTTTTTGGTCTCCTCTAGAAGTGAAGGGATTAAGATCTGATTTGACCTAACACTGAGCTATGACAAATCATTTGCCTGAAATGTTAGGCCCTCGTAGTTTGTTTAATCGAATCCAGATAAATTGGATCAAATTTGTAAACTGCTCCCGGTTAGGGAAAATGATAAAGCTATTACCATAATAGTATTTGTGAAATTCTATATAACACTATTGCCAGCTACTGCCCTATTTCCGAAAAAATATATTTTCATTGCATAATAGAGCCTAAAAAAATTGAACTGACTTTTTGAACCCTCAAAGCGATTGATAAGCTATAACATTAATATAATATTTTCTTCAACTTGTGATATTATATTCTCATTTGTAAGTTAGTTAAATATTAAAGGGCTTTTGTTTAAAGCCGCTGAAAAGTCTCAAAAGAATGGCTGCCAAAGACCAATAAAACCCAAAATTGGATTAAAAAAGATAAAATTCGTGCCGTCTCAGTGACGAACCGATAAGAGATCGCAGTTGCAAAGAATCCATTGCTGCTTATGGTTTGCCCAAAATCTTCAACTGCTCTTCCTCCTCTGCAATTCTTAAGTTTAGAATACAATATACGTTTGAAATGAAAATATCGCAATCTCCTGCGACACAATAGCCCAGACCATTATATGTAGTGACTAGACTAACAATTTTAGTTCATGGAATCTCTATATTTGAATATTTGTATGCGGTTGTTACCCCAATCACTCACAACAACCTTCGACCCTCGAACAACTGAAACACTTAATGGAAACGCAAACTGGCCGATACCCTTTCCGTTTGTCCCAAAACTATTGAGAACAACCCCCTTAATATTGAAAACTTGTAGACGGTGGTTTTCGAAATCACATACAATTATGTTTTGATTTTTATCAATCGCCAGGCCACGGGGACCACAAAACTCCCCTTTCTTATGGCCATGCCTACCTATTATTCTTAAAAGATCGCCATTTTGGTCATAAACTTTAACTACATCGTTACCAGTATCAGCAACTAGGAAACGTTCCTCTTCGTCATGGTACATGGCAAATCTGGGATGAATGAGTCTGTCGTTGCCTGCATCCCCAAATTTGAAAAGGAATTTGCCGTCGGAGCTAAATACTTGCACTCGGTGATTGTTCCAATCAGTGACGATGACGCGGTCTTTCTGGTCAACTGATATGCCGCAGGGGCCGTTGAACTGGCCATGGCCACTGCCCTCGGAACCGAATTTTTTCACAAACTTTCCAGTCTTCACGTCGAAATACTGCACTCTGTTGTTGTCACTGTCTGCCACAAGCACGTACTTTTGACTCTTGTTGAGGGCTATGGACATCGGGTGGAACAACTTGCCATCTTTCGTTCCTTCACTGCCGAACTCGAGGATCTGCCCGCCGTCCGGTGTAAACACGTGGATCCGATGCTTCAAACTGTCAGAGACGATGATCTGTCCGGTGTTTGAAACAGCCACTCCATGTGGTTGAGTAAATTTTCCATCGACGTTTCCATGAGATCCAAAGGACTTTAACGGGCTAAGTATGGGTGGCTTGACTTCTATCATGAAGGGGCTATCCCTGATGAGATGACCACCAACCTCGACTTGCACACGATGAGGTCCTGGTACGCGTGGTATGTAACTGACATCGTAACTGCCGTTTCGATAATTCCGAACTCTGCTCTCTATGAGGCCCCACATCGACGACTTGACCTCCACCACCACGTGGTCGATTTCGCTATAGCTGACTTCACCCTGTGCATTTCTGGTTGTCACAATAAACTCTGCTTCCTCACCTGCCGACACGTCATCCACGCCGTCCCCTTCAGCAGTTGACAAGGCTGGTTCCGTGAGACTGGTGACAACTCTGCCCAGCTTTGAATTTTGGAGCCCTTCGAACATTTCCGTGTTGGGAACATAACCAATGTGTTCGTTTTCCGCTGGATTGGTGCCCACTTCGAGACTGGTGATTTCCTCCACGCGTGACTTGACGTGATTCTTGATGTACATAATTTCCTCGCTGATGTTCCTCTGAAGCAAATCTTCGATGAAGTTGAAAGAACCTTCGGTCTGTGACATCATTGACTCAAAAAGTTTCAGCTGGAATGTTAAGTTCTCCAGCTTGTCTTTACAAATGCTCTCCAGACTCTGGATCATTTCTTCCTGGTGGGCTCGTATAATCGCCACAAGTTTATCCATTTTCTCTGTCACGTCCTTCTTCAAGTAATCAACTTGCTCTTGTACCTCCATGGAGCGGTGTTCAACATTGTGTACACCAAGTTCCACCATTCGTATCTTCTCCTTGAGCTTGGTATTCATTTCACGAAACTTCAGTTTCTGCTCGCTGGCGGCCTCATGAAGGTCGACAATACGATGCGTGTGTTGAATGGCGATATTGCATATGTGACATACTGAAGCGTCACAGTCATAACAAAAGTACTCCACGACTCCTTTCTCTTTGAATTTATGGGCGCACAGCATCGGACGCCGTAGCATATCTTCGTAGTCTCGCGGTTTGAATTTTCCCAAGCTCACGGTTCGATGACCAGTACTTCGCGTAATGACATTATGTGCATTGAGGCATTCATCGCACATAAATGTGTCACACGCGAAACAGAAGGCGCTGAGCTTCAACTTCTTTTGGCAGTTGCCGCAAGATGCTTCGGGATAACTGCGTCTCTTAGCGATGAGCAGGTCAAGAAGACGTGTAATGTAAAAATTTGTCGGTAGCGCCTCGAACTTGTTTCCCTCTGGTTTGCGGATATCATACTGGCAAAGTGGGCACGCGATGGTGGTCTGATATGGCCGACTTTTAGCAACATCTTTGAGACATTCACAACAAAACGTGTGGAGACAAGGCGTAACTTTAGGATTCCTTATAACATTTGAGCAAAGATGACACGTTACCAGCTCCTCTAGAGTTTCCATTACCTCTTTGATTTCCATTTTGTGTCTTTCTTTGAGAACTCCGCGTGGAAGTCTACCTACTCGAGCGAACTGTGTTCACGCCACGCAAACGGATTTTCTAATTAAGATTCAACAGACAGATACCGCTGGTTGTGACAAATATTTACCGCTGAGCCAGTCGGAGACGTTTGTGAAATGATTATCGGGTCTTAAACAATCAACGCCTGCTAAACCTCCTTCGAATATTTAAAATGTTCTTAACATGTACACTATTTGCTCACTGAGAACAGTGAGGCTTTCGTTTTAGAAGAGATCTTTTGACACATCAGTGAAAGCAAATATATCTTTTCCTGTTTATTCAACTGAGACACCTTTTCATCGTATATTTGCTTTTGTCTTGACCTGTTGTTGGCATAAACAAGAAAAAGCCTAAGGTTTTCCTTTTGGTTTCTAACTGAGAAGCTGTTCCTTTTCTTTCCCTTTCTACTTGCATACGAAGCAATAAAGCCTCAGCAAAAGAATAAAGGTCCAACATTAAAGTGTAGAGTTCGCGCCATACAGAAACCTCTCAGAAACTTTGCATACTCCCACGCCAAGAACTGTCATAACTGTAGAAATCTTATTGTTTTCCCTGACAAAACAATTTCCACATCAGTGATAAGGCACAACGTCTGAATATTGATTAGCATGCTATTTCACCCGATAAGGAGTCACTAAATCCTTTCCATTCAAAAACACATGGAGCTTTGTATGTTCTTTCAGGTTACAGTTTTAAGACATCAACTGCTTTAGTCTTGAAGAGAATCCTTCGGCTAAAAGAAAGAAAGCTTACGATTTCAGTTTTTGATCTATTGGTGGCACGTTGAGTCTACTCCAGCTTTAAGTACTGGATCAGATGAAGCGCCGGCCACATGTTCAGGCGGCCTTCGTGAGTTGAATAACAAGACTGATTCCCTATCTAGTAAGTGACAGAATGTCATAATGTACTCTCTAATAACTGACAAGATACATTCAAAGAAGTCAACTTTACACAGCGTGAGTTGTGCTTATGCTAAAATTCAAATATCCATAAAACTATAACAACAGGGAAGGTATGCAAATATAATAGTTTGTGTTTTTTAAATACATTATTGTTATCTCCATAAATACCCGCATCGCTGTGAAAAACATGTCTCAAGTTTATCAAGCCGACAGAAGGATTTATCGATTCGATTTTCTCTATCCCGTTCTAAATTTACACGTGACATTTTCCCAAAGAAACGCGCAGGTAAAAGTTACGTTTGACAGATTGCATTAATCGTCTCTATGTACTGGTGGAGTTGTTCTTCAAGGTTTATTCTTATTGGCTAGTAGTCAGTTGAGAGCGAAGGGTCACGCAATGGCGTGATTCGTGGACCCAATATTTACTGTAGATCCAAGTACTTACTGTACTAAGAATCTATGAGGAATTTTCAAGCCGGTTTAACTTTTGTTTTTGGTTTTTATCTTAAAGCGAGCAGCAGAATAGTGAACGATCGGTAGCCAGAGGGCAATTTGTCAAATCAATGCTAGGTCTCGTACAAGTTTAACATCAAGCAAGAATAACAGCGTTCTTGTACTGCCTTCTCCTCTCGGCAAGGGAGAAGCAGTTTACGACCCTTTTGCGCACAGTACGGATACCTAAAAAGGGTCCAAAAAGACTGTCTGACAAAGCATTTTCATTTGATTTAGATGAATTGTAACGGAATATCGGAAGCATGCATATCATCGCAATTAATAGTGTACAAAAATAATCACTACACTGGCCCAGAGGAGAGGAAGTTTGGTGCATGAAAATTGAAGCAACAAGTCTGTTCACACGAGAGCACATAAAGCGAAATGATTCCCTTCATTTGAAGACCTTCCAGTCCGAAGAAAACGGAATATTGCGAAAAATGACGTTCCCTGCATTGTATACGCGTAGCTTGGCTCCTGACCAGACTTTGGAAAAGCCGCAAATTATCTCTAAGGAGGAATCTTCCCAGAAACTGACATCCCTCGTTGATAGCGCGTTTTCCCGCCTGCTGAAAGATTTGACACGAGTCAGGGAGAGGTCGGCACTAATAAATGAACAGTTCTAGACCCCCTCAGCTCGTAGACATCTCGCCGGTTCGCGTTGTTGAAGGTCTTATACTTTCCCGCGGGTAGGGGAACTCTCGTCCCGAGGCGCTAATAATGAGGGCCTTGCTCGTTAGCTTAGAAATTAAGAGAGGGGTCTGGGTAACGTTATTCAAACTTGGATGAATTTACTTATCCTATCGTAAAAGTGTATATATGGTGGTTACTAAATAGAAAAAAAAATTTAATTTCAAGCGAGAAGACATAATCAGGTAGAAGCTATAATCCCGGTTGGCTTGTTAGCTCAGTTGGAAGAGCACTCGCACCAGCATCGCAAGGGTCATGGGTTCAAATCCCGCACAGTCCGGAATTTTCACTACCGCTTAAGCAGTGTTCATAACTGCGAATTCATCTCTTAATCCGCAGTTCAGATATATGATTTTATATTTTCAGTCATTCATGACATAATCAGCCCTGGATGTCGTTTCTTTGGAGTAGTATCCATTACCGGCTCAACTTCAGACTTAAATGAATGGCTAAATCTAGCTTACCTTACCACTTTGAGTGTCAAAAGGCCCGCCCCTATTCCCTCTAGGGCCAAATATACCTGAATACATAAAAATTAAAAAAGGAGCAGCACTTTCTTCTGAGATTCTAAACCTGATGAATTAGTGAGAAAAATCCCTAAACTAATCCAAGGATCCAAGAGAGGATAAAGTGAATCCCCTCTTTGGGGATCTAGACGAGTTTGATTGTTGGTTTTAGAAGCAGAATCCAGGGGACTCCAGTGAAAATAGTGAAATGACAACGTCACTCACGCCCAAGCCTCTTTACACCCAAGACTGTGAACCCTCGTATAGGCGCATCCATTCTGCCACAGGCGGAGATAGTGTCGTATGGTGATCGGAGGATCCGGGGCTGTCTTCCATGGAAGTTATCTAATACCAACATTTTTTAACATATATGTGATGCCAATGAGCAGAATGACGCTAATTTCACCGCAGGCGCTTATTTACTGCGCGCGAGTGGCGCGGGCAAGTAAACATTATGGCGACGTCCTTCATGGCCGGAACCGGTTCTGCAGTGAGGGCAAAGTTCTCTTTTTTTGTCGTAATTTAGTGAGCATGGCGGCCCTCCTTGATTTGACGGGAGTTACTTTAAATAGACTTTACTCATGTACAGCTCATTTACGGCAAATGAGTGTAATGACAAGTACAAACAATTGAAATTCCATTGACGCCACAGGCGTCAATCAAGACCAATTTACGGACTGATCTAAGAAAAACAAAGTTTGTTAATTCCTGCGCAATATCAACCAAGTATTTCTACGTATACTTCAATTTTCCATATTTGTTGCCGATATTTTTGTTTGAAAAAAATTGGTGCCTTATAAAAGACATTCAGCTGATCCACAAGCACTTATTTCCTGAGCGCGATGAAAGCAGATCAGAATTGAAAGCGATAACTTAAAATTATAAGTATGTTTCTCTAAAATTTCTCGCATCCACCAAATGATACGGAAACATTTAAAAATAGTTTTAGGTGAAAAGAAAATTATATTTAACTGCTCCAGAATTGAAGTTTAGCCGGTTAATAAGAACGCACGTTCGGTCCATAAAAACGTCCAAAACATATCGAAAAAAGTATATAAGTAGTAAGATAAAAATAAAGAGAGTGATAAGGAAATAAGAACTAAGCTGATATCTACCCATCTAGCTCTAAAAACTTTAGGCGTGAAAGACTCCATATGGGGCAATCATGAACGGAAAAGTTGTCTTGCACGGGTTCGGAAATACTCCCTAGATATGATATGGCCGGCTCCTTTATGAAATAAGAATATCTATACAATGAATATATATGAAGTTCATATATTTTGAACTGCGGTATTAAATACGTATGATGCACGATCCTTCGCAGTAGATAGCGCCATTTATGCAATAGCGAAAATCAGACCTGAAAAAAATCAGGCCTGTACGGGATTCGAACCACTGACGTCTGCGATACTAGTGCAGTGCAGCACTCTACCAATTGAGCTAACAAGCCAACTGGGAGCAGGCCGTTAAGTTTATTCGTAATAAACCCGTGATGATAAATCAGATACAACGATTATATATGAAGTTCATATACTTTGAAGTGCGGTTTTAAATACGTATGATGCACGATCCTTCACAGTAGATAGCGCTATTTATGCACGTTTGTTTCAGATTACTTGTCGGACTTACAATCACGCATTTCTGCTACTGCTCTTTATATAACTTATGCGTTTCAAACATACTCAGATATGCAAAAAGCTTGTAGATTTTCAATTCTTGTTGAGAAAATTCATAAACAAACGTTAAAAGATTCGCATATGGACAGCTGTTTTAGTATAATAACAATTGAAAAACAGACAAAATTTCAGTGACGGCACAACAACCATTAACACTACTCCATCGCAATATTTCATAGAAAAACAAAAGTATTTTTGTCTGAGTTTTAGAGCCCTTATCAGCCGATATCACGTAAAGGATTTGTTTAGATATTGGATTTCATGTCTCCTTTGCAAACCCTCTTCTCACGAAATGAGAGCTGTCACGCGAATAAATCGATAAACATCTCTTTTTTTCGCGGGAAAATAACAGGATAAATAAAATCACTGTGATAACAAAGAAGTAGAATAAAGTTGAGAAAGTGTATCCTTCAACGCGACATTAAGCGAATATAGTTCATGACTGTTCAACGTAAGTGGCAATATATTTTTAACTTTACCTCCCCAGTTTTACGTAGTAATGATTGCTTACATTAAGACTATATTACTAAAGTTCGAGGTGTTGAAATGATACACAAACAATTCAGTGATTGCAGCCTTTCTTCAGAAATAAGAGAAAAAGGAATGTCAGTTCCTCCATCCATTCCTGTAATAATTGATTTGAGTACTTCTTCCTGTGATGCTTGTATTCCGTAACCCTCGTCCTACGAAACGATTCGGCTAATTTTTTCATTTCCACGAAACAAAACAGTCCGATATCCGGATGATAGTAGGGCAATGTGGGCATGAAAATGACTGCATACCTAATGCTCTTAATTCCAAGAGCAAAGAGGGTATAGTAGATAAATTTAGAATGGAAAGCTGTGAACAGAAGGTATTCAAATCGTCAAGATGTCTAACCGAGACCTGTCAAATAAAAATTAACGAATCGGTAGCGGGAGAGATTAAATCAGCAAGTTGTTCAAATGCTTTTTTTATTGCGTCACACGTTACTTTACGTGCTGCCGAACTTTCGAAAATTTACATATGCAAACGATTTTACAAATTGGCTCGAGCAAAGCGCGTGATTACTCATCCGTGATCCCACTTAAGGCGCTCTCATACCACACATAAGCCATCAGATAATTTTTAACCGCCTGCTATGCTGACTATTTCTGTTATTTTCTGTTGATTTGTGCATTGATGTCCGGTTGGGCTGCACATCCTCCGTTTCACGAAAAAGGGAGGAAGTTGGTAGGTACTTCGTGATCCATAACGGATCTATATAGCTTATCGTAATATTGAGATATCGAGACCTCGGCGAATATTCAGTGGTAATTCTTAAGCTTCCCATGATCACCACGTTGTTGCTTTAACACGCATTAACCATTCGCGCCGTTTGATCTGAACGGATGTTTCTGGTGGCTTTGTAGGACTGTCAAGCAGCTCTGTTTATTCCTAAACAACTGATTGATAGTTGTGACAAACTTAAATGGTCCTGTGCACAACAATACAATGGAAAGCATTCTCAAAAACTTGAAGTCTTCAATTACCTGTCCTCAGTGTTCCGACTCGTTCAACGACCCTCGATTGTCACCTTGTTTGCACAGCTTTTGCCGCAAATGCTTGGAGCAATTGTGGAGCCAGCATTCATCCAAACGTTCTTTCCGATGTCCAGTCTGCGAGACCGAAGAGACTGTACCGGCTGAAAGCCAAGAGTTTGAAATATCCGAGTCGCCATCGGATTTTCATCTCAATAGGCTCCTAGACCTGAATACGCTTAAGAAGTTGAAAGATCAGCCCGGTGAGTGTCACAACTGTTATGAAACAACCGCGCTGGAAACGTTCTGTTTCGACTGTGATGCGTATCTTTGCCTCGCATGTACGAACGCGCACACCCAGATGACGATGAAGAAAAAGCATCGGGAGCGAAAGCTACGCGAGTTCCGCAGCGCCGACTTCGAAAGATTCTACAAGCGACCGATTTATTGTGAACACGAAAGAAAGGATCTGGAGGGTATAGAGTTTTATTGCCCGGAATGTAACAGCTACATGTGCGGTCTCTGTAACATTATCGACGAGGAATACCATTCCACACGCGATATTCAAGAGATAGCCGACAGAAGCAGTGTGGAAATCAGCGAGAAGGCCGCCATCGTTCGTGGTAAATGCCGCGAGATTCAAACGGGAATTCACAACACGGAAAAACGCATGGACGAAATCGATAGGTGCGTGGCCGAGCTGAAGAATGAGGTGAATGCAAAAGTTGCTAATCTGGTGAAAGTTCTCAACAGTCACGGTGAAGAAATGATTCAGCTGTTAGAGGATATCCGTATGAAAAAGAAAGAAAAACTTCTGATGCAGAAGCGAAATTTCGAGAGGCTTAGCAGTCAAACGACAAGCTCTCTTGAGTTTGTTGATTCTCTTCTGGGTCGAGAATTCGCAGCGGAGGTTATGATGCTGAGAGATCGCGTGATTTCCCGACTGGAGACATTGAGTGATTTAATTGTCGACACGCGACCAGTGGAAGGGGCAGCCTTGGCGTACATTCCCAACCCGTCGCTAGTTAGCATTCAGGAGTCTGCGTCCTTCGGAAACATTGTCACCGGCAAAGCTGATCCACTTTCCTGTTTTGCAGATGGCGAAGGGCTGAGGACCGCTTTCGTCGGAGAAGAATCGTGTTTTGTGGTAACGACTCGCGATTTAAACGGCGATGAATGCTACAGTCTGGCAGACCATGTCACAGTTCACGCCACGTCTAACAACGGAGACGTCATTGAAGCTAAAGTAAAAGACACGGAGAGCGGATTATACGAAGTCACGTATGTTCCTAAGATAGAGGGCCTTTACTCCTTGTCTGTTAAAGTGGGAGACCAGCATATACAAGAGAGTCCATTTGAGGTTAATATTAAGCCTCCAGTCATGCAGCCTTGCAAGTCGTTTGGATCCGTCCCTGGTGCAAATGGCCTTTATACCCAGCCACATGGATTAGCCATAAGTAGCACTGGAGACATTGCTATCTCCGACACTCAAAAACACTGTGTCCATCTGCTGAGTCCAGACGGTGTGAGCAAAGTGGACCTCGGAGGAGACGAGCTCAGCTACCCTGTAGGAGTCGCGTTCGACATCACGGAGAAAAACATCATCGTAGCTGACAGGGACAATCATCGCTTGCTCGTGTACAGCACCAAAACAGGAAAATTGATCAGAAAAACTGGTCGAAAGGGAAGTGGCGAAGGACAGTTTGATGGGCCATCGGGTATCTGCGTGGACGGTGAAGGTCGTATCATCGTCGCTGATTGGAACAATCATCGAATCCAAGTTTTCTCCCCTGATGGCCTTTTCCAGTTTAAATTTGGAGATATGGTCAAGAATAAATTAAAGCATCCAAGAGCCGTGACGTTTTGCAATGTGCGAAAGCGATTTGTCGTATCGGATACCGGAAATAACGTTATCAAAGTTTTCGGACCGAAAGGAAAATTCTTGTATAGTATTGGAAAGCCAGGAGTCAAAAAAGGCGAGCTGTACAGTCCTCGTGGAATCACCGTGGACAGACTAGACCGAATAGTGGTTTGCGATTTTGACAATCATCGCGTTCAGTTCTTCCGATTCGATGGCATATGCCTGAATTCGTTCGGGTCTAAGGGCAAGTCACCAGGACAGTTCGATCGCCCAATGGGTGTCGCTCTCCTGAATGATGACCAAATCGTTGTCAGTGATTGGGGAAATGATCGAATTCAAGTGTTCTCCACGGATCCGCAAATGAAAGTAACACTGCTTCATGAAAATAACAACGTGAATCATTGACTTTAATGCTGTGACATTTAATTTTAACTGACTACGGAACGATAAAGTCCAATTGTTCTCTACAGATCTGCTAATCACTACATCAATAGAAAGTGAAATTGCATAATTCGTGATTTGAATTTATTGGAACAACTAACCTTAAACGATTGACGGTGAATATTTCTTATGTAACATTTTCCTCTTGAATGTAGATACAGTCAACAACTTGACTAATTTTGGAAAGTTACTATTAGAGTAGCCTTCGGTTAGTTTTTTGAGTCTACTGGTTTCGTAACAACCGTAGACAGTATCCCCAAAGCTCTGTAAGTCCGTAACGTAACAATGCAATATTCGGAGAGTTTTCCTGACGTGTTCGAATCTCCGGAGAGATCTTCGGGTAGTTGGTGATGGCGATTGACAACAGTTGGCGAGGTTGTTGTGCCAAATCAGTCATCCTCGGTCAGTCATCGGTAGTTTACGTGATTCTCCGTCAGTTTTCGACTTACTATCGACTGAAACGTCGAAGATATTATATGTATTTTATGAGGTGGCTTTGCTTCAAGTTTATAATATACAACGAAGCTTTCACCATATAGACACAAATTGGAATATAATATTATTCGGTCTTTAGAATACTCTCAAGCCAAGGCTTAGTTCGAAATGTATATTTTTCTTCACCTGGTTTAACTTAATTAACATTTTAGGGTCAGGTGAATCTATTAATTCTAATGTACCCTTAGGGTTTATTTCGTTTAGTAATTATCACCTATGTTGTTTTCGTAGCCGTTGATATAGTATGCGCCTTATGTCTCCTTTACTCAGAATTTACAATTCAAGTTTTTATTACGCCATCATTGACTGAAAAAAAATACAAGGCGGGTAACTGCTAAAATGAAAAAAAGTACTGAAGATTTTCACCATTAAGCGATGGTTGAAAGACAGCTTGAACCCTTTGACTTCCAGAAGTGATGAACATGTAACCTCTTCCTATGATATCCGTACATTATTAAAAACTGGATCATTGGATAATGCAATTCAAGACTTTTTATTGTTTTAGCCATTATGGTATATGAGCCAATATACCATAATCTACAAATATGGTAAGCGTGCGCGTCAGCTTAAAATTAAAAGGGAGCTAAAAAATAAGATTTGGTAAGATTTGTCTGATATCTTTGGAGGGTTTTTAATAAAACAATTATTAAGCAAACAGGTGATGAGAATACTCAAACTCATCAAGTAGAAGTTGCTATCTTGATCTAATACCAAATTCTCATAGCTGAATTACAGGAAAGTGTGTGGCAGTCTGCGAGGAGAATTAACGAGTAGATCTGGGGAGTTAAAGGGTTACCGCTCTTTTATTCAAGCACACTCGGTGTGCAAGTGAATTTTTTCAACGTAACAGGGAATTGTTAAATCTGTCAAGAATCCTAGTAATATTTCTGTTCTTAAGTTATCTTTATTATTTCCTTAAAACAAGCCTTTCAAATCTTTTTTTTTTTTAATTAAGTCTGTATTCGCAAATCCATTAGAATGTGAGATTTATCGGCTTAATATTTGAATAAATCATTAGTAATCCTAAGCCGTTTCATTTCATTTTCCTTTAACCCGTTAATTCCCTGAAGTGATTAACAAGTAACTTTCATCTTCAGTATCCGTACATTGTCAAGAAAATGGTCACTCAAACCTATTAGCGGAAGTTGTTGCCTTGATCTAACACCAAATTCTCGCAACTGTCGTTAAAGGAAATGTGTGCTAGCTAGAGGGGAGAGTTAACAAAACAGATCTTGGAGGTTAAAGGGTTAATTAAGTGGCCATTGGCGGGTTTTGTCTCACATTTCTGCACAAGTTAGCAACCCTTTTCCGCGCGTCTCAGAATTCGTTCGGAATTACCCGCTATCGAGATCTGAGATAGTTAAAATGGCGCAAGATTAGAGTCTTAGATGTTTTCTATCGACTATTATTTCTACTGCGGTTAGCCACCAGGCCGTGTAGCCTGTTTATCGCTTTAGATATAAAACCAAATACGCAATAATACATTTCTTCAACTTTAGTGGGTGTTAAGCCCATGTGAATGACGTCAAGGCTAGAGCGATGGGTTAGAATTAGGTCTTTCCTAATATAGCACGAGAATAAATTGAAAACATATTCAAGCAAATCAAGTCACGCTATTTTAAAAAAGCAGGAAACTAAAAAAACCTTTTAACAGGGTAAAATAGCAAATATTCAAGGCCAAACTGGTGGTGCGAACAACTTTGTTCTGTTTGCTGACAATTGATAGTCTAGAAAGTTTCATTTAGACAGAAACTTTAAAGTGGGTTTTTGGCCATGGCTTCCACGAATTAGATATCAGCTGATCTAAAGCTACATTTCCTAGCAAGTAAAGCGAGAGCCCAATTTGAATTTCGCAAAGGCCCCAAACACACGATGCTGGCAAGAACAACCGTTTAAATGTTTAGGATTTTACAACCGAAAAAAGACTTTTATGCAGTTTAGCCTGTAAATTAAACTACCTATACACTTTGGGATGTTACAAGATAAAAAAAAAAGTTTCATACTTTGTTACTGATGACATTCACCAAAATTATGGAGAATGAAGTATTTTCATTAGAATCGCATAGCTTAAGGTAAACACACGCTCTGATTGGTCAATACGTCAACCGGAAGAGAAGGTATTAAGCGTGGAATCGCACTCAGCATACAGCGATATCGCTGACGTGAGTCGCGAGCAAAAATTATTGTTACGAACGTAAAAACGTAAATACAACTAGTGCAACGAAAATATGAACAAATATGAACAAATCTATAGAAAACGAATATCTTCCAAATTTTGAGTTGAAAGTCAAATTTTTAGAAAATTGGAGGAAACCCTTCACGCTCAAAAGTACGAGAAAACGCATAGAAAAAAAATCAAAATGCCAGAGACGAGGGAAGAAAGCCAAACGACAGTTCTTGCCGAGGAAAACCAAACAAGCGTTACGAAAGAAATCCAAAACAGGTATCATTGTCGAAAAAGGTCAAGCATCTTTTTCGGAAATCCAAACCATTGTAGCCAAAACAGACGACGAACTGGCCTCTTTTAGAGACAACGTGGTTTCAAAAAACACTAAACGGCAAATTCCCAAATTCGAGTGGTCGCAAAACAGTCATCCAAGCGCTCCGTGATGATTTCGACCCACTGGAGATATCAAAGCTCACTGGCCACTCCAATCCGGAATCCATATCCAGCTACAGCCATAATCCTCTAGAATAACAGCGGCGAATGTCGAATAAGTTGGTCGATTTCAACCCAAGCACGACAACCGACCAACGGCTATTCAAGTCATGCTTTACGGGAGATTGTTCTCAATAGCTCAGCCACGCCAATCAACACAGCAGCTACTAGTGACCTTGACAGCAATGCCAGTCATATAAGTTACCTGATGGCAGGAGCAGTTGGCGGAATGTTTACTGGAGTAACTTTTAATAATTCTCCAGTAAATATTTCCACAAACTTTCAGTCCAGCATGGACAACAACGAGCGATGAAAGAATGAAATGAAATGAAAGAATTGAAAGAAAAACAGTTAAAATTGTGACTTAACCTTTTATGAACTGTTTTTCGTCAGAGTTTACCGAGAAATTCCAGTCTTAATCATTATAATTTGAATACACTTCTTTTTATAATTGTAAAGCACTTACCGGTTTTTTTGGAGATCTTGCTTTGATACCGGAACGCTTGAAATTTTCAATTCGCTTGAGGATTTGACCACTCAGTTGTTGATTGTCGGCGCCACATTTTGCCAAGTCGAGTAGTGGCAGGCAAATCTGTCTTAAATAACTCCGTATTTTGTACTTTCAGTTTTTCTGCTGAAGATTGTAAAATGTGAGGCACTGCTTTCTTCACTGGTTGAAATAAAAGTGGTTTTCATTCTAAAAATATCTTGTTCCCTCTATTCACTAGATATTGACACCTGACTTTGAAAGGGTTTCCATTGTTTGCGCACAAAAATACAAAACATCTGGTTTCGTCCAGTGATTTGGTGGCTTTAGCAATGTGATTCAAGAAAAATTCACGAGGTACAAATAAAATTGTCGCCGGTTCAAACGTGAGCGACTTACCTTGCTTTCCATTCCCTTAACAATGACGGTTCTGACAGTTGACTTTAAAATGGGTTTCTTAAGGGCGCGCGTACGGGATAAAAACAAACAATAATATTTCCGTTTAATTTCTTGTTTTCTTACTTTTATTCAGTTATGCGATTCAAGAAAAATTCACAGCCTCATCGCTTCGCGATTCGTGCGATATTGGTTTTTCGCACGAAATTTAACGTGGAATTCACGAGTCAGGCAGTGAATTTTTCTATAATATGGCTAACCTTTACACTATTTGGCTACTCTCTTTTAAGAAAGTGTAAAAACATTAAAGAGGCAGAAGTAACTGGTTAGGAAACCCCTCACATTTCTTTCTTGTATGTTTTTGCTGGGTTTGTAGCATGTGACTGACTATGTAAGAGCATATCAATCATAGTTTCCATGCATTCATTCAGTCAAAAAAGACAAAGAAAAAAAAATGGTTCACTGGATCTCCAATTACAATGTCAGCACAGTTTTTATTTCCGCATTCAGTTTTAATCGACTGTCCTAACCTGCTACCTCTGCGTGATATACTTGAAAATACACCGTAAGAACCATACATGCTTGGTAAAAACTGAAGTAATTCAAGGATTTCCAAAGTTTGCTTTACAAGCAAAAGAGAACAATCACAAGACACGGGCATTAGATATCTAACGAGCATATACATGTAGGTACATAAGTCGAGGACTCAAAATATAAGTTTAGGCAAAACAGTAATCGTTTCATCAAAAAATATCTTATTTTATGAGAAAGTAACTATGTAATTTTGTTTTCTTTCGTTGGGACTGTATTCAGGGATGGCTGTAACAATCAAAAGTTGGGGGGGGGGGATGATGAACATAAAAAAGCAAAGAAACACGGAAAGAAAAACGTATTGATGCTGTTCTCTCTCTCATTTGGTTAAACCAAGCTTCATTTTAATCCCCTGCCCATTCTAAGAAACAGATACTGTAAATCGAAATAGCAATAAATATAAAAATAAAGATGAGAAATAACCCCCCCCCCTCAAAAAAAAAAAATTGAAGCAAAAATTATTACACAAAAGTAATTATTACCCTTCGAATCTCATCGTTTGAACGCTATTTCTCAAACCAGAAGACCCCTGTCACGAAATTTGGCATCTGATGCTCTTTTTTTTTCTCTTTTTCTATCTACCGATCATTTTTTGGAATCAGCAATTTACCAGTAGCCGACACTGAATATAGGCTTAACACATTTAAGTTCCGTTACATCAAATCCGAGATATCGATCACATCCTAACACCCATTCGACTGTTCGAGAGCAACGGCTGCGTTTGGTTGGATGTGAGGTCTTCCTCCGAGGAGGAACTCGAGATATCTTCGGACGGACGATTCGGCGACGACTCTTTACCGCAGGCGTTTAAACATGTATGTTCGTCGGAGAACCCAACTCTTCTTTCGCTTTCGCTACTGGATGCGTGATCAGCGTTTTGAGTTGTTGAACTACAAATCGTATCGCGCCCGTTGTTTGCTAGTGGATTACTAACTATACGGATCGACTGTCCTTGGGCTAGTTCTTGGTCAGTTCTTAAGTCATCATCTTCGGTAGCGCGGTTTGTATTTGCAGCCGTATGATTTGAGTCTGTGTTACCAGACTGGTTGGTATTCTGATTGCCATTACTGTCTGTTGTAGATCGATTGGCACTACCTTGAGTACCTTCTACAACTGATTCGAACGAAGGGGGAGAGCGCTCCACTTGACTAATAGCCTCGTCATACGATGGCAAAATAAAATGCACGTCTCCCGCGTATGCAATGAACGCGATCCTATCATCGTCGCTGTATCGTCGACTCCTGTACGAAGGGCGCCGGATTCTTCGGATTCGTTGTCGAAAGCAATATAGGGCTGCTAATAAAACGACCAAAGCACCCAAGGTTGAGCCTGTACTTGCGATTACAATTGTCATCTTATCCAATTCCCTATTTGGCTGTTGAGACTCGTCGGGCACATCTTTGAGAGAAGCAAAAATCATATCAACAAACAAATGCATTAAAAAAGAAACAAAAACAAACGAATATATATGAGGTTTCAAGGCGGTTCTGCGTTTGACTTCACAATTGCGGCTTTTTTCCAACATCCATAAAGGATCACGGCGTAGTCTACATATAAGCCAAGCTGTCGGCATTGTCGTAGTTTATCCCGGTTTCCTTAAGGCGACTGGGAGTGTTTTCATTCCCTTGGAATGAGATGGCGGTCGATGGTCACCATCTCCCCCTCCCCCTCTCCCTTCCCTTCCCCTTCCCCACCCCCCAAGCGGTTTCCTGGCCTTGACTTGCCTATCAGGTGGTAGCTATGTATACTCCTGATTGGAGAGAGGCCTTGTGAGAGTTTGGTGTCTTGTACTGTAACCAAGAGCCCACTACAAAAAAATATTGCGCAGATGCACTACACAAAAGACTGCAACATACCAGGCACTTCTTCCAATGCTGACATCTCACAGCTCATAGATTGTTTGCCTTTCTTCGAGACATCCGTTGCATGACCACCCACCTTTTGGCAATTCTCCTCGAATTCTTCTAGCGTTACACACTCTGGAAACTTGGTGTTGTCACAATAAAGTTCACGATTACCGTTAGTCTTGACACAGCCTAGATACAGCCAGTCTGCTGCATCGTCACTGTAATCCTTGCAAGTTAGACTCGGCGGCCCCCACAGCAAATAGCCGCGATTACAAGATGGTGTAATTTGTTGATTAAGGCGATACTCGTCAATAGCGGGTTTATATCCACCGTTGGCAAGATCCAATCTCTGGCACGTCAGCTTAGATTCTGAAAGATCATAGTAATCAAAAGAGCTCAAATGGCTGCGTGTCAAGTAAGTTTCATTTTCTAGTGCTGATGGCCAGCAGATTGGTTCACTCATGTAAGAGTTCTCACTGTAATGTGGGTTTGGTTTTACAACGCTCTTCGATTGGCTCGTTCCCTCTAATTATTTTTAGGTTCAAACTATCAGGTCTTAACAGCGCATCTGGATGTTATATAACGTTAGCGCATCGGGATGTTATATAACGTTATCGTCTCGTAGTAGAATCCACTCAGCTTACCTTCACAGAATGGGTTACTTTGTCCACTCCAGTGGCCTCCAGGTCGACACTGCCGTGTACTATTACCAATAAGTCTATACATAACGTGGCATTTGTAACTGGCTTCTGTCCAAATAGGAGCCTTTGTCGCTCTGGCTTTGCTATTATTAAATGTGATCCCGCCATTTGTTATATTTTCAAGACGTTCACAGACGTTTAAAACTGCAAGCATCACGGGAAAGATAAAATTCAGCAAGGTTAAATTGATCCTCACCTCCTACACGTAGCTGTTACACATTCGTTTGAAACATAGTTGAAATTGTAAATTGGCCACCGTAACGAGTAAAAAAAGCTGGTGTTTCGCTCTGACGAAGGGCTAACGCTTGAAACGTCAGCTTTTTCACTCGTTACGGTGGCCAGTTTACAATTTCAACTTAGTTGATAGAACCAAATTACTTTGTTATCCCCACCGACGCAGCACCACAGTTTCTTCAGAAACTTTCAACTTTTATTCGTTTAAACATAGTTCAGGGCCCAGTTGATCGAAGGTCGATCAGCGCAAACCCAAAGTAAAATTTTTGATCTGAGTTTCTTTTTTCTTCTGTTCAAAAGCCTTTTCAGGATAATTTTCTCTCTTCTAATCTTTTAAGAGCATTCACTCATTAAATTGTCGACAAATAGAATTATACTTAATTTTCTTTCAAAGCTATCAGAACAACCCACCCCAGATGTACATGACATCAAGACAATTCTGGTCTATCAGCTGGTCTTTAAAGTTTGTACATTCTCATCATTTTATTGCAGATGCAGATTCAAAAGCATCTTTAATCAAGCGTAACTGGTCCACAAAATTCGCGCCACTTCTTCAACCACTTGGTTTCAGAGCTAAAACATCGCGCCTTGGTCACACGGGCGCGTGTTCCCGCGCTTTTGGCGGTTTTGTAGTTTTTACTATCACCTTTTTTCATTGGCTCGTTGTGGTATCATCCTTCGTTCTGATTCGCTAATGTAATTGCTTTGTTTCTCTTTTCCCTTCGACATTCAATCGTGAATGCTTTTATGTTCAGTTGTTGTTAGGAAGGTTTTACATCTACATGTATGTGAATTAATCGTAGAAGCTAACCTACAACCCATATTAAATAGTGATCAGCACCTAATTTCTCCTGACAACAGCACAGCTGACAAATTAAAGCAAACATGAGATTTAAGAGAATGATCCCCAACTAATTAGGATTCTGATTATTCAATAATACTAAAGGAAAGGCATACAGAGTAGTGTGATCTGTTTAAAAATTAAAAACATTAAAAAAAGAACAAAATTAAAGAAAAAAAAAAGAAGATATAATTATTATAAATATTTTGAAAATCTTAAAATGAATAAAAACGACTACAAAACAACAACAACAACAACAAAAAGCCGAAGACAAGCAAAGACACAAAAACGAAAAAAAGAATACCCAGAACCTGCCACTCAACAAAGCACTTAACAATATAATACAAGACATAATTGTTTTCTCACATACCACAGCGAGGCGCCTTGGCAGACCAAAGTCCAGATTCCATACATTTTGGCTTTTGATTACCTTCAAGCTTATAATGATCTTCACAAACAAAAATTGCAGTCATATTTTCTGTGAAATTGTATGAGCCCTCGTAAAACGGGTTACTTTTGACTTCACCATGGTCAATTGTAACATCTGATGTGGGGCAGGTTTTTACTGAGGGAGAAGAATAAACAGTGTGTTACAACCAGTTCATAACCATTAAGTTAACACTGCAAGTGTTACAAGTTAGGTCTACAAGCCCTGTCCTGCCAAAACTTTATCCCTCTGCATGAAATAATGAGGTTTACTTCCACTGTTTCCAAATGGAATGTCTTCTCATTGAGAGCAAACTCCCAGAAATTGAAAAAGTTTCCAAGGAGACTGAAATCTTTCACATTTTAAAGCCATCCAATTTCCATTATCAAGAAAGTAAAAGGGAATGATCTGAACTACTCATATCCAATGTACTTTCTCGCCTTTACATCTATTTAAAGCTAAAACTCAAGCTATCCATTTTAATTGGTTGACACAGTTGGGATAGCATGAAAAAATTTAAATAATAGTGTTGTGCAAGCTTTTGAAGCTATGATAACTGAATAATTACATTATGAAATCTATAAACAGTAACTTATGTAAAAATAAAAAATAAAATGAAAGAAAGATTGGTAAAATTAGCCACGCAAACATAAAAGAAACATACAGATAAATACACAGACAGACATATTTTGATCACACTGGGGGAAAAAATTAAAACACTCTGTAGTTGACTGGTGTTCAGTTATTGCATGCAGACTTTCAAAGCTTGGTAATTTCGTCATCAAAATGGCACATTTACCGCATTTAGGTAGATATTGTGTTTGCCAGACTCCTCCTCCTGAACCATCCACACATGACATTCTAAATATTGGCTGTTGCTTTCTGTTATAGTCTAGCAACTTATAGCCAGAAAAACAATAATATGTTGCCATTGTTCTGGCGCCATCTGAGTGAGGACCAGTGGTGACATTGCCGTGAGCAATCCTTGGAGGACGACCACATCTTATTTCTGGTGAACATATAAATAACAGATAAAGACATACTGTAGCACTGTTACATAATATATCTGAGGGTGTTTGCCAGTTGTATGTTGTATCTTAATACTATTATTATTATTATTATTATTATTATTATTATAGGATTTATATAACACCACTTATACTATAAATTTATAAATTTATCAAATTCTTACACAATTTACAGTAGAGCTAATGAAAAGAAAAATTTAAATACAGTAAGTACATGTACAATTTTTAAAAAAAATAGCAATCCTTAACAAAGACAATTTTAATAACTGTATCTTGGTTATCACTAAAGATGTGGGTTCTCACACCTCTCATGGTTAATGTACATTTTCTACGCCTAAGTGCACTTAGTTTGTTCAAATCAGGATAATTTTGTCTGCTACACCAAAATATTTTCTTTACTTGAATTTTTCTTCATTGCAAATATATATACATATCTTATTAACCAAGCGCGAGGGCCGTACTGGGAGAATATCGGCCCGAGGTCTTGACAGTACGCACCGAGCGCAGCGAGGTCCGTACAAAAAAGACTGAGGGCCGATCTTCTTCCAGTACGGTCCCAAGCAAGCTTGGTTAATAAGAGATTTATTATACGACTGAAGTTCAAAGAGACACAAGTGCGGTATCATTCGGGACCATTCGGGACAGTGCCAGTCCAATACTTAGAGAATATTGGACTGGCAATAGAGCATTTTGATTGGTTAATTTTAGTTATTGGCCCTCTGACTGCCCGAGTCGTGTAATATATAAACATTATACAGGGGGATAATTACTATGGAGCTGGGAGCAATATCAATTACAACACTTACTTTCACAGGTGATGTTACCATTCCAGAAGTACCCTAGCGACTCATGGTCCTTGTCACACAGGATCTTTGTAGGTCTTCCGTTAGATGTGTAGCCTATATTACAGGCATACTCCACATAACTCCCTTTGGTGTTTTGCAGTGATTGATATTTCAGATGTGCATTGGGAAAATTAGGTGTTGGCAACGGACAACCTGTGAAAAGCAACAGCACAATATACCTTGTACCCCACTGAACCCTAAGAGGGATTAACATCTAATTTCTCCTTACATTTTTACACCTGAATCATACATAAAGGTCAGCGGAATAAAGGAAATGATCACCAACTAGAGGAGCTCTTGATTGCTGAACAAATTCTCCTTGTCAGCACCCCAATCAATGTATAGAGAACAGTATGGAGAATATGAGTCCTGATATTAGGGTGTAAAAGATTACACTAAATTTTTAGTAGGAAGTATAGTCTGGTGGTGAGAGCATCACAATCTCAAAGGGGAGGTTCTGGATTCCAGTCCTACTCCAAGTGCCAGATGGACTGATTCTTACTGGCCTTGGGTTGAACTCCACCATGTTCATAAAAAGCTGAAAAGTTTACCTACTTCTACTTGGGTTTTGATTCAGGTTATTGGAATTAAATTATTCAAAGAGAGCCATGCTTTTATCAGTGTTTTTAATGCTATCAAGTGTTCCCCTCTCTAGACAAACCTTATTATCAGTTTACCATTATTGTCAGTTATCATTTAACAATTGGTTCATACGTCAGCGTGCGTTCATCGAAATATGAAGTATGCAGGAAGTTTGAAGAGCACGAAAGATGCGTAAGAGTTGCTCGAGGCATAGCCTCGAGCAACTCTAGCTTTATGAATGCTCCCCAAACTTCCCAAGTGCTTCATGTCTTGATGAACGCACAGCTGATGTAAGAACCAACTGTTTTATAACATTTTGCACGCTGTAGTTTATGTATAAAGGGCAGAAATTCCCTCTCCTCCGCTTCAATGCATTGTTTATTTTGTTTCGGAAGAGTATTTTGTCATGCTTCAATGATCTTGTCTCAGATTGGTCAAAAACTGACAGGTGCATTCATGTGTGGAAATGAAGTTAAAGTCCCAAAACAGATGAATACGCTGATTGTTTTGTTTTCCCTTTCTCTGGATTCTTTCTCAGGAGTTAAAAATCCATTCCCAAAGAAAAAGTAGGCAGATCTTCATTGGCTTGTTCGCTTGTTGCCATGTCTAGTTTAACTTTTTTGCGAAATTTTTTCCCGTTTCTAATGAAAAATGCTCAAGTCACTTGCGAGAAAAAAATTTTTTCACGAGGCATTTGTTTGCTGTCGTCACCATCATGCACAATGGAAAATTGAAGCATGCTCACGCTATTGAATTTGATTGCACGAATTTACAAGCTATGTTATATATTATTTGAATAAGTATCCTGCTAAAATTGAACACATGGATGAAAAAAGCTACATTTATTTAGTGACTCCCAATAAACTGCTAGATTCTCCTCTAAAATTATGTTGTACTTCCCTTTAAACAGGAGAGAGATAAACAGTTTGCATCA